TTCGAAAAATCTACTTCCCGAAAAGTCGATAATCTACTTTCCCGAAAAGTAGAAAAGCTATCTACTTTTCGGGAAAAGTAGATAACCAACTCGGATAGTAGATAACCAACTTTCCCGGATAGTAAGATAACCAACTTTCCCGGAAAGTAGATATTTCCCATTTTTGTGATACAAATTTCCCGTTTTCTATGATAATCTACTTCGCAAAATTAGGTAATATTTCCCCAAAAAGTCGATAATCTACTTTCCCGAAAAGTAGAAAAGCTATCTACTTTTCGGGAAAGTAGATAACCAACTTTCCCGGAAAGTAGATATTTCCCATTTTTTATGATACAAATTTCCCGTTTTCTATGATAATCTACTTCGCTAAATTAGGTAATATTTCCCCCAAAATTCGAAAATCTACTTCTCCGAAAAGTTTGAGCATCAGTAGAAAATATATCTACTTATCGGGAAAGAAGATCACCAACTTTCCCGGAAAGTAGATATTTCCCACTTTTTATGATACAAATTTCCCGTTTTCTATGATAATCTACTTCGCAAAATTAGTTAATATTTCCCCCAAAATTCGAAAATCTACTTCCCCGAAAAGTCGATAATCTACTTTCTCGAAAAGTAAAAAATCTATCTACTTTTCGGGAAAGTAGATAACCAACTTTCCCGGAAAGTAGATATTTCCCATTTTTTATGATACAAATTTCCCGTTTTCTATGATAATCTACTTCGCAAAATTAGGTAATATTTCCCCCAAAATTCGAAAATCTACTTCCCCGAAAAGTCGATAATCTACTTTCCCGAAAAGTAGAAAATCTATCTACTTTTCGGGAAAGTAGATAACCAACTTTCCCGGAAAGTAGATATTTCCCATTTTTTATGATACAAATTTCCCGTTTTCTATGATAATCTACTTCGCAAAATTAGGTAATATTTCCCCCAAATTCGAAAATCTACTTCCCCGAAAAGTCGATAATCTACTTTCCCGAAAAGTAGAAAATCTATCTACTTTTCGGGAAAGTAGATAACCAACTTTCCCGGAAAGTAGATATTTCCCATTTTTTATGATACAAATTTCCCGTTTTCTATGATAATCTACTTCGCAAAATTAGGTAATATTTCCCCCAAAATTCGAAAATCTACTTCCCGAAAAGTCGATAATCTACTTTCCCGAAAAGTAGAAAATCTATCTACTTTTCGGGAAAGTAGATAACCAACTTTCCCGGAAAGTAGATATTTCACATTTTTTATGATACAAATTTCCCGTTTTCTATGATAATCTACTTCGCAAAATTAGGTAATATTTCCCCCAAAATTCGAAAATCTACTTCCCCGAAAAGTCGATAATCTACTTTCCCGAAAAGTAGAAAATCTATCTACTTTTCGGGAAAGTAGATAACCAACTTTCCCGGATAGTAGATATTTCCCATTTTTTATGATACAAATTTCCCGTTTTCTATGATAATCTACTTCGCAAAATTATGGTAATATTTCCCCCAAAATTCGAAAATCTACTTCCCCGAAAAGTCGATAATCTACTTTCCCGAAAAGTAGAAAATCTATCTACTTTTCGGGAAAGTAGATAACCAACTTTCCCGGAAAGTAGATATTTCCCATTTTTTATGATACAAATTTCCCGTTTTCTATGATAATCTACTTCGCAAAATTACGTAATATTTCCCCCAAAATTCGAAAATCTACTTCCCCGAAAAGTCGATAATCTACTTTCCCGAAAAGTAGAAAAGCTATCTACTTTTCGGGAAAGTAGATAACCAACTTTCCCGGAAAGTAGATATTTCCCATTTTTTATGATACAAATTTCCCGTTTTCTATGATAATCTACTTCGCAAAATTAGGTAATATTTCCCCCCAAAATTCGAAAATCTACTTCCCCGAAAAGTCGATAATCTACTTTCCCGAAAAGTAGAAAATCTATCTACTTTTCGGGAAAGTAGATAACCAACTTTCGAATAGTAGATAACCAACTTTCCCGGAAAGTAGATATTTCACGTTTTATGATACAAATTTCCCGTTTCTATGATAATCTACTTCGCAAAATTAGGTAATCTTTCCCCAAATTCAATCTACTTCCCCGAAATAATCTACTTTCCCGAAAAGTAGAAAATCTATCTACTTTTCGGGAAAGTAGATAACCAACTTTCCCGGAAAGTAGATATTTCCCATTTTTTATGATACAAATTTCCCGTTTTCTATGATAATCTACTTCGCAAAATTAGGTAATATTTCCCCAAAAATTCGAAAATCTACTTCCCCGAAAAGTCGATAATCTACTTTCCCGAAAAGTAGAAAATCTATCTACTTTTCGGGAAAGTAGATAACCAACTTTCCCGGAAAGTAGATATTTCCCATTTTTTATGATACAAATTTCCCGTTTTCTATGATAATCTACTTCGCAAAATTAGGTAATATTTCCCCCAAAATTCGAAAATCTACTTCCCCGAAAAGTCGATAATCTACTTTCCCGAAAAGTAGAAAATCTATCTACTTTTCGGGAAAGTAGATAACCAACTTTCCCGGAAAGTAGATATTTCCCATTTTTTATGATACAAATTTCCCGTTTTCTATCTACTTCGCAAAATTAGGTAATATTTCCCCCAAAATTCGAAAATCTACTTCCCCGAAAAGTCGATAATCTACTTTCCCGAAAAGTAGAAAATCTATCTACTTTTCGGGAAAGTAGATAACCAACTTTCCCGGAAAGTAGATATTTCCCATTTTTTATGATACAAATTTCCCGTTTTCTATGATAATCTACTTCGCAAAATTAGGTAATATTTCCCCCAAAATTCGAAAATCTACTTCCCCGAAAAGTCGATAATCTACTTTCCCGAAAAGTAGAAAATCTATCTACTTTTCGGGAAAGTAGATAACCAACTTTCCCGGAAAGTAGATATTTCCCATTTTTTATGATACAAATTTCCCGTTTTCTATGATAATCTACTTCTCCAAATTAATAATAATAAATAATAATAATAATAATTAACGGTTTATTGAAAGAGCTTGGCAGCCAGAAGGCTGAAAATATACAGTTACATATTTGGGGAATGGGTTACGAATTACAAATAATATACAAGTAACATAAGTGACACAAATAAGACATATAATAACTAGATGTGGAAAAGCTCAAACTACAGTTCATTTCAACATAGTGACAGTTTAAGGAGCAGTGTTTACTGGGAGTGAATACACTGATTTATTACAAGTTATTGATAATTTTTACAATGGTTGGGACTGGGCTGTTCTTATAGCGATCAGTTCGTGCACGTATGGGCTGAATGCGGTTGTGGTGTCGAACAGCAATTCTCGGACAGGGGATCTCAGGTGGTAGTAGGAGCCGGTGTCGGGGATGGTGTAGAAGCTTCTTACCAAATTTGCAGATGAGGTCGTGGTGATGGTCAGTGAGAGTCGAAAGGGTCAGTGTGTTGAGCGCTTCTTGATATGTGGAGTAGGAAGGGGGGAGAATAATCTTGCATGCCCTCTTTTGCACTTTTTCTAGGTGTTTACGTTGTGTGGCATTTAGGGAGGAAGACCAGGTGGGGGAGGCATAGGTGAGCTTGGGGAGTATGAATGTTGTGTTGTGTATATATAAATATATATATATATATAAATATATATAAATATATATGTATATATAAATATATATAAATATATAAATATATATATAAATATATAAATATATATAAATATATATATATAAATATATATAAATATATAAATATATATAAATATATATATATTTATATATTTATAATATATAAATATATAGATATATATTAATATATATATATAAATATATAAATATATTTAAATATATATATATATATATATATATATATATATATATATATATATATATATATATTAATTTTTCTCAAAGCTAAAGTTGAACCTGATCGAACATGAGGCTCGAGATGTGTTTGGTTTCTGTAAATTGAACTTTGAGACCTAACTAGTGCTATGTGGTTAAGTCCTCAGAGGAAGAGGGACTACAACCAACGTTGTGAAGGGTTTAAAACCATAATCCTCAAAGGGTTACAACCATTATCTCTAAATGGAATAAATGATTATGAATATTATCTCAGCGCAGCAATAGCCAAGAGTCTCCAAATGGAATAAGGTGACCAATCGCCCTCAAAATGATTACAATATGATGACATGGAAAAAAACATGTACTATGTGAAAATAAAACAGTCATGAACAAGTAAAAACTGTCATGAATAAAAAAGTATTGTCAATCTCAAAAAAAACGAAAAAACAACAAAAAGTCTTGGAGAAGAAAATTTCGTGAATTGTCAGCTACAAGTCATGAATAAGAACATTATGAAGATAATTTAACGTAATAGAAGCTGAGACTGACAACCCCCTTTGTGGACACACCCGCCCTCCACTACGCTTTAGGTGATGGTAAATACTGTACTCGGGCCAGTTCCTGGGTCACCTTACATCCACGTTTACAGTGTATTTAAACCCATCGTTCCCGAGTATGATGATGTGTGAATCATTACAGCTTATCAAGGTTTTACTTATATGCTAAATTAGCAAGGGTGGGAGGTTTAAAGAGAAGAAATCTGAAAAAAAAAATGGCGAGAGGAGAAAGGAGGAAGAGGGTGGTGGTGCAGCCTGCGGAAGACGACCTTCTAGCACGTAAGAGTAGTTCCGTCCAAGCATTCTATAGGATATCACATCTTGTCTCAGAAATTTATTATAACATCATCACCAACATGAATTAGAGATAAGAATAATGACATTCTTTAAATAGTGTGTCAATAAATGTTGGTTATGAACACGTATCTTGGAAGGAAGCTAAGTAAACAATGTAGCGATGATTACCTCGAACCTAACCTCAGAGTGACGTCACAAGCCACGTTAGAGGAAACAGCAATGTTTCCGTACAAATACTGAACGTTTGTCGTCCTTGGTCGAAGGTTTCATCCCTAGTATATATAGGTCCCCGCCTCCCCTCCAACACATCACACTACAGACGGGTTTGAATCATCCTACTTGTCTCTTATTAAACTCTCGCCCAGGAGTAAATATCAGGTCTGTTTAAAAGGTAACGTAACACAACACTGATGAAAGGTAATGCTGTAGGAATCTGACTTGAAAGAAACTTAATTAATGTTATGAGTCAAAGTGAGTCGTTCTGATATTCATTCGTACAGTTTATTGACAAAGAAAGTGAATGGTGAGTTTTAATATTGCTATGATTATAACATTAAATATTCAAGAAATTGTTATTAATAATTTTCTTTCGTGTTAACAGTACAGACATATAAAGGCCCATATCATCATTTTAGTCATAATGTGAAAGTAATTATTTTAGCTTTACAGTATGTTTTTTTTTCTGGCCGAACAAAAGCGAAAATCTTCGTATACTTTATAAAGAAACTTATTAGTCAAGTAGTGAAAATTTGTTTAAGCTTATCTGTTAATTTCCGTTTTAGTTATGAAGCTCACAAGCGTAATGGTGGGCGTGTGGGCGTGTCTGTTGCTCTTGTACGGAGAAGGGAATGCCTCTCCCTGCTGTGGTGTGGGCGTCGCAGCAGTTGGCGCTTTAGCCTTTACTGGGGTAATTACAGTTCTTTCTGTATATGATTTAGTCACTTTTATAATAAATTAGTAAGTGGATGTTTAAATAAAAAGTAATATCCAAAATAACATTCACATAAACTTGCTTATTTCATATATAGAGATGAAATATATACGTTTCTGGTATGAATAAGCTTAAGAACGCCATTGTAACGAGAAATGAGCATAAATGATGAGTTGTCCCCACGCCCTAGGGTGTGCTGGCAGCGAAACACCACCATCACCACCACGGGGGCTGCCACTCCTGCGGCTGTGGTGGCTGTGGCGGGTCTTGCGGTTGGTGTGGTGGAAACTACTACGGCAAGAGGCGTCGTAGGAGTCTCCTCAATTTCTTAGAAAACGCAGAAATCCAACAAGTCTACGACAAGGTAAGAAGCCATGACGATTGATATACAGGAATGATGGACCAGTTGGCCAAGATACCTCTCCGCCTGCTACAGTTTAGTCTATGCTTTAGAGAAGAATATCTACGCTCGTCATTCGTTATGTTCCTCTGGTTAACATCGATGACAATAATTTACTTCCCTTTATATCCGACTTCACCTTTACAGTCTTCAGCACACGTGATATAAAAGGCAGAAGTTAACAACATAGTCTAAATTTACCTTTGCTAGCATAATGGTAACTTGAAGAATTCTAACCAGAAAAATAAACGAATAAGACAACTTCATAAATGCTCGGCATGGTGGAGTACAAAACACATGTACATAGAAATTTCCCTTTACGTCCACAGATCGCGGCAGAAGACAAGGACCAGTGTGGGTTGAGACTGGTGTGTGAGCTGGCCCAGAGAGACCCTCGCACTCTAGCTCAAGATGAGATCCAGATCCTCCTGCCGTACCGGTAAGTCAACACTACAGCCTATATGCCAAACTAGGATAGACGCTAAAAAGTTCTTAATTGTTAAAGCAAAGTAAAACATTGTAAAGCCACCATCAGTTTTTCCTATTCTCCAAAAGAGTTGTCTTGTACAGAAACTTGAATCTGAACATTGATCAAAGAGCTTAAGATATCCTTTACCTTGAAATAACAATACTTAGTGGTGACATAAACAATCTGAACTAATGGTGGAAATTACAACGGAATCGAAACCTTCGCTGTTGAAGCACGCAATACAATATCTTACTGAAATGAGGATCTGTGGTCGAAATGTTGAAATTTTGATAATTAATTCTGATTGTTCTCATAACAATTAACATAATTAATTAACAAAACTTTATATTCTAGGGTGCTATTAAGACAATGATAAAAAATTCAACATTTCGACCACAGATCTTTAAGGAAGTTCTCGTCTTTTGTATAAACTGACTTAGCGATCTGTACTTAAAACGCCTTGGCTGTTGAGATTAATACATGCCGCCGTAAATGTTATCTTTCAAAGGTTGTTGACTAGTGCATAATGTTATTGACTTGGTGAAAGTTGTTTAAATATCCTATCAAACGAAGTACTACATTACGCATCAACACCAGTGACCGGACAACACTGGATAGCTGTATATCGAAAGAGTATTTAATAGGTTCAATTTACTATTCTCAACTTGGTTCCTATTGGATGTTGGTCCTGGCAAAACTTTTTATGTGAACTTTGACCGAAAATAAGTTCTCACTGCTAAAGCTTACATAAGCCTGTGTGATATTTATCAAGCTATAAACTATTTCAGGAATTAATAATGATTTATATGTTTGTGTTACAGCGGCGCGGGTGAGAGTGACGGCACTATCTATGGGGACTATGATGAGGCAGCGTGGCACGGTCAGGAGGGACACCCCTGCCCCACCAACTACCCGCTCTGTGCCTTCACCGCTCACCAGGTTATGGACGAGTACCGCAAATACGTGACTAATAATGGCAACTTTACATTAAATCATTTCTTGTAAAATATTTATCCTTAAACGACATTTCCAGCCGGAAAAGTTTCGTGAAGATGCCAAGAAACTAAATAAATGTAATGCCCCAACTGTAAATTAAAATGTAAAATAATCTTTGAAGCCTTTTATCATATCCTTGTATGACATCGTTGCTAAATACTTACTACCAACAACATACCGTACTGTACCACTCGAGGCTTTTTCAGTATTAAAGATGTGGTCCCCGAACAACTGCCATCTTCTGTAGTACAGTATATGAGCGTCATCACTGTAATGCGAAGTACAGTGTGTTGGCAAAATAAAACATCAACTTACACTTCACAACAATGGAGGAGATTGTGAACTACCATAACTGATCTTACAGGTCTGTGTTATAAGTTATGGCACACAAGTAAGGTTTAACCAACTCGTCGCTCTCCGTGTATCTTTTATTCTCCATATATATTTCCACTTTCCGTATGATGATCGTGATCAATCCAGGGCTTGATTACATATTCGATAAATAAACAGTAATAAATCAGTTCCTCTTATAAACACCTATTTTGGAAAGATCTTTTTTCTCATTACTATAAATGCTGCCGACTATAATGACAATCTTTGGAATAACCAGTTAAAGGAATGGCGACAAATTACAGCTTCCGAATGACATGAAACTGCACACAATAGGTTCCACACCAAAGCCAAACTATCGATACAGAGTGAGGGTGTATGGCACAGGTACGCCCTCATATGCCACCGTCACAAGACTGGCCGACAATGTTCTCATTGAAAATGTCCCCCAACTGTCAAGACGGCCACCAGGCGCTTATATCGTCCCTTACCTTGACAATATATTTTTTTAAATCCATATAAAAATACTTCACTGTTATACTTTGTTGTAACTCATTCTGTATCACTAACTGATGTCAGAAATATACAACATGGGAATCTAGTGAACTAAGATAACAATCCTAACCTTACCTAACCTTGGTTGGTCCTTCACGAAGATGTATAGTCACGGAGCTGGGTGAAATGCCCGCCCGCGACAGGATAGCCGGCAACACTGGTATTGACTTTGGTGAGGTTTTCCCAGAATCCAGAGTCAACATCTTACTTCTCCCACCCAATGGAACCGCGTCACACCCTAGACAAGAGCTGTTCTCACATTTCCGTATTTTCTAAACTGCAAAAAACGACAAACATATATAGCTATCAGATACCTGTTACTGAAACCAACAGATCTTCAGCTACCCTTTCAATGATGACAGTCTTCGTTATTTACACAGTTATGTAGTGCAGTATTAAGAGATATAAACACAAACTTCATCTCGATTCATTTTCTTCTATACTCTCTTAAATAAATTATATTTTCTTTCTTGAAAGCGCTGCACAAGTCTCTGAACCCGGATTACTGTATATATTTAGCAATAACTGAGTGTCAACAAAGTCCTTTAGATACATTGCGAGTTCACTGCATCCGTATTCACAAGGTCATAAGAACATTGCCTGTGGGTATTCAGGGCCCCTTGGCGCGGGGGTAACCTTGGGGTATCCCGGGACAGCGTCTATATAACCATGCCTTACGAGGGCCTTCCATCACAGATAATCCCAGACCGCTGCTGGTGGAGAGATAACCAACCCACGAAGACCTTTGGATCTGGTTACTACGACCGCTGGGGAACTAAGGTACAAAGTACAAGTCCGGTGTTTACAGTACACAAAGCTAGAGAAAGTTTTGAGCATTTACTCATATCTAAAACGAAGAATAACAAAAGAGGTACCACTGCAGTTCTATATTCTTTTCCTCCAAATTTTAGTGAACAGAATTAAACATTTTACCATATCACCTCATTTCTATAAACGAAAGATGAGACTGGACAAACACCGAAAGAATAGTGGATCCCTCGCCAGCTTAGTATTTTACAATCATCCAACATCTAGTGATCACATAAAAACAACTCGCTAGATGCAGTGTAAATCAAAATCCTTTAAAACTAAAGCCCAGGTTGATACAGTATACACTTGAATTGCGAACGTCGTGGTTGGTTAGCAGATCATTTTACATCACTGAACTTAGAAAGTTAATGGTGCTTCAAACTACCCGGTAAGTCAAGGCATTAAAAATCATATTTGCTGAAGTCATAATCTGTAGCTCTTACAACATGTCTGGTTGTCGCAATTTATCTTTATTGTTAAGTGAGAGCACTACAGAATTGTGTCATTTTGGGTCAAGTTCTGTCAAGTATTGCCGACTTGACGCTTCGCAGATGCTCATAGAAAAAATTATCTCTACAATTTCTGTCTTTGACTCAAAAAACATTAGAGAAATAATCTGTTTTCTAAATCTGCCTTCAATAATATCTTCCAGATCATACAGAGGAACGTCATGAGTAAAGTGAATGTGGCTTGGGTCGGCGTGTGGGCGGTGGTGGCCCTGCTGTGCCTAGGTGTGGTGACTCCACCTACGACTAAGGCAGCGGCAGTGGCAGACCCTGAGCCTTGTTGTGGCCGCCTGGCTGCTGGAGCCCTGGGCTTTGCCGGGGTGAGTGGGAACAAAGGGGGAAGGAATGACACGAATGAATGACCATTGGACATGCATGAAAGAAACTGCTGAATGAAGAGGAAAGAAAGATTTGAGTGGTGCGAGAAAGAAGAGTATTTAAGGAAGCAGCGCGGAAAGATTGAATTGAAGGAGAGAATGGGAGAATAAAAAAGTATAATAGAAGAAATTGGAGTGAGTCTAGTGGGTGATGGATGAGAAATTACTTGTAAGTTGACGCATATCTGTTCGAGAGCTGTTAATTCCAAAAACAGAGACGTTTCAAAAGTGTGCAGAACGTCGAAAAAAAGAAAATATGAGATAAAAGGAAACAGACGAGACCGAGTGAAATTTAGTTAAGCTTCGTAAATTAAGACCCACAATGTTGATTTACTTGATGGCTAAATTGTTGTTTCTTTTCGCAAGGGCTATTTGATCGGTCGTCATCGGCGTCATCGGTGTCATAGGTGTGGCTGTGGTGGATGTGGTGGTGGCTGTGGTGGATGTGGTGGTGGCTGTGGTTGGTGTGGCGGTGGATGGTATGGTAGAAAGAGGAGGAGCCTGGACGAGATGATGGAACAAGAGAAACTGGAGGACCTGTACTGGAAGGTAAGGCAGGAAAGAGGGTGTTTGTGCTAGTAGCAATAATTCCCAAACAACAAACTTATGTTTATATAAAGTTCTTAAAACCTATAAGATACCAACCTGTGGGGCATATTTTTTTAACGTGCAGTAACTTGCTTTCGCGCAGATCACCTCTCAGGACAATGACCAGTGTGGGCTGAGGCTGGTGTGTGAGTTGGCCCAGAAGGACCCCAACTATTTGTCTGGAGACGAGACCGTCCTACTTCTACCCTACAGGTGAGTGTCACGCCCGCCTGCTGAGTGAATATCTATCTTCACACTGTACAATACCCGAGTGGGTTCTTATTTAGACTGTTGCTGTCTTTCCAATGAAGAAACTTATTTCATATTTATACTTCTGCTTTACTAGAGAGTGAAATCACATAGATTTATGTCTAGCGACGTGGTCGACACAATAAAATAATAACAAAGTATCAAGCAACTTCATAGTTTCATGATAGGTTCATATTTTTGAGGTGCCAGCAGTCTGTTGGACCACACTCTTCTCCCCTTAGTTTTACACTAAACTGCTCCAAAATTTAGTGTACTGTCCATACGTAGAGTACAATAAGTATACACGTTAACATCTATTACTTATCCACAACAGAGGTCGTGATGAGAGCGACGAGACGACTTACTACGGCCGGTACGACAAGGCGGTGTGGCACGGCCAGAAAGGTAACCCCTGCCACAAGATGTACCCGACGTGTGTTTTAGCCGCCCCAGAAATCCTAGTGAACTTTAAGGCGAACTTCACAGACCCCTTCCAGTGAACTCTGATGATCTTTTATTGTCACACCATTACAAACGTCCTGCTGTCTACTACATCACGGACCTCAAGCATCGCCAAGTTGTAACCTTTCCTTACCATTATAATAAAAGCCCCAAATTTGGTAAAATTAAGATCTTCTGATATTATCCCACAGTTCGAGAGCACCGCAACGGAGGACCTGGTGGAATTATCCTATTATATAAGAGTAGTCTTTTTTACCCGACTTTACATTTTTGTAATCCAAGTTTAATGTCACACAAATATTATAACAATTGCTTATTTCAGGTTAATTCAGCTTCTGTTGTATTGTTTTTAATGCAAAAGATCTGCGATTAGTTCTTGTCCTGTAACAGATAGTTTCCTTCCAATAACTCGTAAACTGATATAATAATGAAAAGAAAATGATTTCTATGACTAATCTTTTTTGGAACCCGAGTAGTCAGACAGCTAACAATAATAACGACACTCGACAAAAATCACTGAGCTCAAAGAAATACAATGTTATGACCATTAGAACGACTCCAGTGTTACCTTTGAAGAATAAGAGCAACATTGGTACGGTCTCGCTAAGGTTAAGCGAACTGACACTATCGTCATCAAGAAGTCAAGGAAGATCAATGTTTTTATTTGTGTCTTAAATAAGTATATCATTCCTTGATATCGCAAGGAACTAACGGCGGCCAATGACACACACTCAAATGACTATAATATTCGTGGCTGATAACCCGCTCTAGTTTTGATTCCTTTGATTTAAATCTCAGTTCTCACCAAGGAAAAAAGTAAGAATAATAGGACGAAAGCAATCATAAGTAGGCAAATAATACGAACACAGATATTCATGAATTTTCTATATTCTCTTAAGACAAGGAGAAAGTTTAGAATGAACTTGTCCAGAACTAACGTAGTGCTGACCATGCCACTAATCTCTAGCTTTTGAAGGTAACAATTCAAAATTAGGCGATGTCAAGGAATCGGCATAGAGTCAGTCGGGTGAAATGAAGAATCAAATTGGGCCGAGGTGTCTTTAGAAAACTAAATCATTATTATTATCATCACTGTTGCGCTGTCCATGCTTGGGTGGGGTGAGCCGTGGGTACAAATTTGAAACAAGTTTTACGGCTAGATGCCCTTTCTAATGGCAGCTCACCTTAACAGGGTCACAGCTTCCCGAGGTAAGCAAAATATGCAGTACAGTATACGCATTTTCTTTTTATAGAAATTAGAATATTAAACAATACGTGCTGCCAATGTTGACGTATCGTTGTGAAATTTAAAGACTTAACGTAAAATAACCCCGAGCAGGAAAGGCCATTGGCACAGAAAAAGAAACGAAAGGCTAATATTCGAAAGAGAAATGCGAGATATTGTTAAACGAACTAAAACATTGCAGTGGCAGTGGGGAGGCTTCAGTGCAAGGAGTACAAGTTATCAGTTGAACAAAGAGATCATCCAATGAACCCCACCAAGATATGAAAGATAACAGAGACAAAGACAGTTTTCTTGATGGATAGATGAACTTGGAAATTTTGGCGGTGTAAAATGAAGAGGAAGGATGTAAGGCAGATGATTGAGGAAGTGTCAGGCGCCTACAGTGAGCTGATACAAGCTGATGTTTTGTTGATAATGATATAACAGCTCTGGCAGTAGCAAGGTTTGGTGTTCACACAGCTGCACCAATACAGGATATGACTACTGACACTCCCACAAACTCAAACACATTTACTCTACACTTGTAAGAGATAGGATCCTTAATCAATCCCAATAAGCTGTTGTAAACTTATATATACTCATCGACTACTACATCAATAATGAATAAATCTTTGTTTGTCAGCATGATTTTGGGTTGGTCAGTCAAGGTCAAGAGGTCAGAGGAAAGTTACATATGCGTGGTTAGCAGTAACCTTGGGATGATCAAGACAGTATATAAACAGCTGGGGACATGCACTGCACACACACACAAAGACCAACAGTAGTGCTGGACAGGATCCCACCCCACAGTTCTCAGGTCTCTCGTACTGTACAACTCCGGAACAGACAAAGGTACAGAACGTAATACTAATGTAAAGCGTCTCTGCGATTACTGCAGTGAAAGGATATACTTACAGTATATTGCGTATACCACAGATAATTGACTATACAGTGTACTTGTATTTGCATTTTTTTCTCAAAAATTACAGGTGGTCTGTATACGTGGACGATCCAGTAAACAATTAAGGCAAATTATAAATGCATAGTAAACGACGTCTTAAATGGCAGATTTTATCATAAATTAACTATTTTCCCTGACCAAGAGTTAACACCCTAAGGCAAAAGCTTCAGTTCCGTTTTAAGGTTAAAATCAGTCGAATATCCTTATTTAGCGATATAGCATTGTTTACCAGTGTTAATCTATCGTTGTTGATCCCTCCTGGATGCTGGGCGTAGAAGTGCGGACACCTAGTGAGATAAAGCATTACATATTTACCAGTAATTCATTAACTTGGGCACCCGAGCAGCAGTAGCCAGGCCTAAACGCCTCCTAAACCTCACAGTGAGTATTGACACAACAAATGCAGTGGACGTCCGTCAATATTCGCATGTGTTAATATGATCCACGAGAAACAGTGTTTATATCACCTTTCATGGAGGATTAATTCTTGTGATCAACTATTTACATACTTTAATGAAAAGTCTTTGAAAGTTACTAAAACTGGTCGAGTTACGCTAGTCAGTTACAATTAAAGTATCTAATGTCGTTTAGGAGTAAAGTAACATTTAACAGACAAATAATATATCAGTCGTCCTCCCTAAAAATAAAAGAGAACATCTTTGTACCATTTTTTTTTTATTATTATTTATTAATCTTATTCCAAACCCACCCTGAAGAGCGTTCATATACACACACTGCTTCATCTTACTTGAATATTCCTTCTCACTCCCTCCATCAGGATCATGAGTAAGGTGTCCGTGGTGGTCGTGTGGGCGGTGGTGGCCCTGCTGAGCCTAAGTATGGTAACTCTGCCAAGGACTGAGGCGGTGGCGGTGGCAGACCCTGAGCCCTGTTGTGGCCGCCTGGCTGCCGGAGCTCTGGGCTTTGTCGGGGTAAGTGGGTTAGACTGAAAGAGAGAGGGTATGTGAGGAGAGAGAGACTAAGATGAATGGATAATGGAAATGTGGGGGAGGAAATGAGAACGCTAATAGGAGGGAAATAAAGTTAAGTGTTTGGTGAGATCAGGAAGAGTGTAAGAAATCAGAGCCAGAGTGGTTGTTGGTGAGAGAAAAAATCAAAGATAAAAGGGAATGATAGATGTGAGAGAAGAGTTAATATACAGGATTAATGAGAGTAAATGGAGTAAAGACAAATATTTTTAAGGGCAGCAGTAAAGTGGAGGGAAGGAAGAAGAGGAACTGAAGTGGTGGGAGAAGCAAGGTGAATGTGCGTGACCGAGTAAACAAATAATGACAAACAGATTAATAAAATATGTGTAACTGACAACAGAGAACTTCTACATGAAGACGAGACAACAGAACAATGTGACTCAAAAACATAACGATGAACGTCTAGCTGAAATAACGTTACACAAAATCTGTAGCCATTCACTTACTTTGAAACACTAGTTAGGTACGTCACTGTCGAGTCTCTTCATCAGGGTTACGCGATTGGTCGTCTCAGTCACCGCCGGTGTCACAGATGTGGTTATGGCAGGAGGAGGAGAAGTCTGGACGAGATAATGGGATCCCAACAGCTGGAGGACCTGTACTCAAAAGTAAGACGTGTGTTGTACCATTAGTAAACCTTCACCGCATTTTCTTGTTTTCTTTTATTTAATCGAAAAGAATGAGTGACTTGTACTACAGATTTATAAATAAAACTGTTTGCTGGGTGAAATTTACATAAGCTAAAATAAAAGAAACTTCTCTCAGATTGCTGCTCAGGATAAGGACCAGTGTGGGCTGCGCCTCGTGTGTGAGTTGGCCCAGAAGGACCCCAACCACCTGACTGAAGATGAGGCCATTATTCTCCTGCCATACAGGTGAGTGAGATTACACTACACTACACTGGTATACTCTCCTATCTTTCCTCAGACATAGCCGTGGACTGTGATGAACAGGCCACCTTGCATGCGAATAATGATTGAAACTTCTGCATTTATCTGCTCGCTAACTGCATAAATCTTTCTATGACAGGGGTCGCAGTGAAAGCAACGAGAGGACCTACTACGGCCAGTATGACAAGGCGGTGTGGCACGGCCAGAAGGGTAATCCCTGCCACAAGCTGTACTCGCTGTGTGCCTACGCCGCCCCAGAGATCCTAGTTGGCTATAAGGCCAGATTCATAGATTCCTTCCAGTGACCGGGCTGAGGTGATGACAACTATGTCCTGTTTTCTACATCACGGACTCAAGCTGAACCAAAATTGAAATATGTTCTTTACTAAAATAATAAACGCTGCAATTTTCAAGGGTTTTTTCTTGATACATGTTTGTTGTTATTTCAACGATCACTTAAGTCAATACGTACACTAGACACCAACTAAAAAATAAGAAAAAATGTGTTCGTGCTTCAACAACTATGGTATTTAAACACACACTCTACTAACTGGGTCAATACACAAGCTAACAACAATTAAAACATCCAACAAATAATGTGTTTATGTGCGAAGAGTAGGTTAATAGTTATCCTAGACATCAACAATTCACAATACTGTAATCGAGCCTTTATGGTATACAACGAAGCTCTGTGGCCGGTACTACAATCGACTACCTTCGTTTCTCTTACTAGCCACATACATTTTGTTGTGTTCATCATTATTATTGTAATTACTGCTATAATTATTAGGATTATAAACATCATAGCAAAGGATACTAACCATTAAGTCGACATAGGATAGAGAAAAAGTTGAGGCAAGCGAGATTAAGTGTTTGGCGTCCCATGACTGCCGTGGCTGGGGTGTACTGCTGAACGCCCACCGTCCGGCCCAGTGAACGGGTGATGTGGTGGAGAAGACACGTACGAGTATCTTTCAAACCCAACCTACCTATTTAAAACTTAAGGTTAAGTAGTTAATGTTGGGTACAGTTTGATCCCTGTAGAAACGTGTACAGACAGACAGATAAGCAGACGAATAAAGACAGGTAGAAAGACTGACTAGTAGACAGACAAATTGACAGAAATAAATATCTGGACATCATTAGTATTCTACTCCCCGAGGGACTGGAAAATAGTCCTACAGACAGACAGACTGTTGTAGGATGAAAAAAAAAGACATGATTGACAGACAAAATACATACAGTCCATACATTCACTTATTCTTCCTTATTCACTAGCAACTAGCCTGAAAGATGGAATGACGCGGAGAATGACAAGAGAGAGAGAGAGAGAGCATACTAAATAAATCTGTTGTTGAGAGCTTCAGTAAAATAAAAATGCAATGAAAATCAGCTAGTACTCAAAAGCTGAAGTCACAAGGTAGCAATTATCATTCAAATTTTCGGTTGCAGAAACAACTGGTGACATAGTGCTTAAACGACTCGAGCATATCTTCATCTGGCGCAATCTTATCAGTTTCATGTTCTATCATAGATTTGATCATAGTAGACGCCCTTAAGGTCGAATCATACTATGCTTTAGTAATTGAAAATAAACACAAGGAGTGAAGTTAGTTAGGGCTGTGTTTCCCGAATTAGGCACCAGCTAAACTTTATGGCTGCGTGTACCTGTAATCTGTCTTAGTTCTGGCGGAGAGCGACGGGTATCCAGGACGTACGGGCTGTTCTTTTGCCATCTGTTGTACAAATATTTAAACCTAGTCATCTAAACACACAAGGTGGGTGCACATCACTCTTGACGGACAATGATTTTCATTTCTACTTGCATATGTCCATGATAATCCACGACGCAATAACTATAGTGAGAATTACGGAATCATTTTTATTGTCTGTTATTACCAATAATGATAAGTTCGATACTTCTTTTTTCATGGGAGGGGGGTCGTAACGTTAACAGAGGCATGACTGGACTCCCAAACGGCTAACGGGCCAATTAGAAGCGAAGAAAAACTGAGCAAGAACAATATGAGAACAACTGAACCACAGAATATTTGCACTGAAAACACTGATATTGATTATATAACAATGCCGTATCTTGAGGCTAATTATACTTGCCAATTATTTGCGAAGTGTTGAGGAAATTTTGTTAGTTCAATTCAGCTTTGGTTAGGTTATGTAAGGTTAAGTATGATATATATAGTTTTTCTTATCCAGTGAATGTTTGACCTTCGTTATATAATTTTTGTATATCTCTTAGCTGAATGACTTACTGAGAACTTAGTGGACCAACTTGCACTTAAAACGCTTATTTTTTTCTGTAATGTACGTAATTAGTTTACGTCTGGAATAGAGAAAAAAATTCGTTTGACACCACCACAAATCATCTAAAAAAAAACATGGGACTGAATTAGTTATCTGATAATATACGTTTCAGTCCAAGAAAATAACAAGATAACACTTTACCTGGGTTAACAGCAGAATACAGGGAGCCAACACAACCGACCCCAGGAGATGGCTGACGAAGGATCTCACGAGGACCTCAAGGGTGAGTTATCATTTTTATTTACTTTTGTTACCGCTTTCACCTCCAACATAAAATATAATATTACGTGCACTTTAACAGCTTGTATTTTGTTCCCTTAATTAATTTTAGACTATAACTTAAAAATTTTCCCATACATCAGTGTACAATGAATTTATACCAAAAAAATTTCTGCAAATTTACTTACTAGGCCTATTGCTGATTAAGGATCTATTGTCCGCAATATAATTACTTGTCCAAATGACATTTCAATAATATTAATTATATTTCTAACGCTAATTACTGGCAGCCTATGGTTTTTCAAGGTTGTTTTTTGGTGTTTATGTGGTATTCTGGATGTACAGTACAGTCACTCAAAAAAGTCCTGTCGCGAACCACGAACCCCGAGATTCAGAGTCGTGAGCCCGAAGCAGTAGACATTGATACATTATTCTGTCCATAAATGCTTCGGATTCAAGAGTCGATTCATGGTTCGCGACAGGACTTTTTTGGGTGACTGTACTTAAGTATTTCGACACATTAAATTTCAATTCCAAGAGAAAACGTGTTTTTGGCCATAATCTTGCTCTCACCGATTTTAATCAAAATCTCGGTACAGGCAGCCCCTGAGATACGATGGGGTTACGTTCCTGAAAAAACCTATTGCTAGGTGAAATATCGTAAACAAGGAGCATTATAACATTGGGTTCAATGGGGTACATTCCCAGCCACTCCCCAAACATACATGTATCACTGACAAAAGCTTTCCTACAATACTACTATCAGTACAAAACAAGTAAACAACACTCACCACATCGTATTTGACAAGTCTGGTCATCATCACAAGTCCCCTTCGAGGCTAAGGGGACTCTTGTAGGTGGACTGGAGACGTCACTCGGACTCCCACACAACCTCTGGGGAGTCCGGAGAGGCTGGAGGTAGAGTCCTATAAGGGGCTTCTACAGTGGGGGCTGGAGGTGTAGGTTTTGGCTTGGCTTTAAAGAGGATGAAGTTCCTGGGTGGGTCTGGAGAAGTGACAGAAGTCGAGGGTTGTGGCTCTGACAGTGGCAGGGGTTTGAAAAGGGAGGTGATTGTTGTCTGGTGCGCCTCCTTATGAAGGTACAGCTCCTTGTATCAGAGCATCATGCACTTCTCTACCACTGCCCTCACAGATGAACTCCTGTTGATGTTTGGGTCATTCTCAACAAGGAGCTCCATGGCAGTGTTCACGTGGTCCAGGGCAGAGCTCAACACCTTCAGAGTCAGCGTCATGGGTTGTCCTCCTCACCAGTTGACTCCTCCATTCTCTGCTGATGTTCTAGGAGCAGCAGGTCCTCTGTGCTGAGCTCCTCAGAGTGGCTGTCCAAGACCTCAGCCACTTTCTCTTCATCCACCTCCTGAAAGCTGGCTTCCTGGGAGATGCTGACTATGTCGCAGTGTAGAGCTATAACATTGGTGAAGCCGCCAAAGTCGTACACACACTCAAGCCAAACTTTCCTCCACACTGCATTCATGCAGCTTTGCGTGACCTCCTTCCACGACTTGTCGATGTTGTTTATGGCGTGCTTGATGTTGTAGCTGTGCCCAAATTCTTTGACGGTCGGCTTTCCCTCTCCATCTGTCGCCTATGACACTGTTTTATCAACCTCCTCAGGCAGTAGGCCTTGATGGTGGCGATGACACCCTGATGCATCGGCTAGATGAGTGAGTGTGGTGTTAGGGGACAGAAACAATCACACTGATGTTGTCAATCCACTCACCCATCATTGACGGGTGCATTGGCGCATAGTTGAGGATCAGGAGAAACTTGTTAGCGATGTTCTGCTTCTCGGCATACTCCTTGAGGTGCTTGGAGAAGTAGCCAACCATATAACTCTGGCACATCACCATCGTTACCCAGGCCTTCTTGTTGGAGCACCAGATAACTGGGAGGTGCTCCTTAATAAACCCATTAAGAGCTCTAGGGCTCCCTGAATGGAACACCAATATGGGAGTCAACTTAAAGTCCCCCTCAGCATTGCCTTGAAGCCTGGTGCAGTCTTCTCCTTGGCCAGGAAAGTCCTTGATGGCATCTTCTTCCAAAACAGGCCTGTCTCGTTGAAGTTCAGGACCTGCTTGGCGTTGTATCCTCCTTCCTCCACCTTAGTCTTCAGGAGTGCCGGGAAGGCATTAGCAATCACGATGTTAGAACCGCTGCCTCACTAGTCTGAAGATGTCTTGAATAAAGACGAAAGCTAAGGTACTCCGTTGTTTCCATTTTCCCGTGTGATTTTATCAAGATTTATCTTATCCACGTTTTCATTGTGGATTTACATGAAATATATATATATATATATATATATATATATATATATATATATATATATATATATATATATATATATATATATATATATATATATATATATATATATATATATATATATATATATATATATATATATATATATATATATATATATATATATATATATATATATATATATATATATATATATATATATATATATATATATATATATATATATATATACTATTTTCTATAAAAATGCCACTGAATTTCGTAATGAATTTTATGGGGCAAGTGGAAGCTGGGGAACGTAGCTCCCATATTTTATCTATTTCTTATGGGGAAAATTGGTTCCGTTAACGTTGCGGTTTTCAGGAACAGAACCACGACATTACGCGAGGACTTACTGTACACACAGGCATATAGACAGAATGGAATCCTGTATTCCCATCAAGTGAAATCAGTAGAGGTGTAAGAACTTATCAAATAGATCCAGTACGTAGAAGTATTCTTCAATACTTTTAACTACACATTGTGGAATATTAAAGCTATTTGAAATGTTTCAGTAATGACTCCTTCTACTGTACTATATGTCCTCCTCAGAGAGCATCAATGGGGAGCTCCGGGACTACTACCAACAGCTGGTGAAGCTCTACCGACCTGACCTTCAAGATGAGGTTGAAGCTGGGATACTTCCTTTTGACCCAATCTTCCATGACTTATCACCCCACCACTTTCCAGAGAAGGATCTTATTCTGAAGCCTCAGGAAAAAGAAAAAGATCACAGGTAAGATATATATGGAAGTTTAGTATGTGGAGTGGAATAATCATGTAAGGAAGAAGCCAAAAACAGGGATATGAAAATGGCCAGATGATCCAAAATTGGGGGCAACTTAGCTCACAGTTTAGGGAAGAGTGAAATACCATACAGTGCTGTACGTATGAATGGTAGAAACCAATCATAAGGAAATTATAATGATAAAGGGCTGGCAGGCAAGACATGAACTTGTATAAAACACCGAAGAATGAAACCCCCAAAAATTAAAGATAAACATTGACCAAAGATGTTTTCTCATTTGAAAATTCATGATAGTGTAGATGCAAGTAGCCATCATGGAAACCATATTGAATAGGAATGAAAAGCATGCGCCAAGTGTTCAGTGTGAAGAAACCATTTGGACATTGTTGATGTAAAGTGTGGAGATTAAATTATTCATTATAAAGTAGTATCAGTTTGGTAATATGATCGAGTTTAAGCCCACAGGCATTCAAACTACTGTACTCTGTCATCACAGATAAATCAGCATTCTCTGAGTTGCTAAGAAGTAGTTGAAAACATAGGAATACTAATGGTAAAGCTATCAGGCATACCATTTACCCTCTCCCAACTCCTGATAACTCGTGAAAGTACAGGACTACATGTTACTCCTAATTTCTATCTGACACTGAAGAAGATATTATAACTATACAGGTACTGTATAACATATTTAAGCTCACACTATTTAATTTAGTTCAGCATCCACAGTGACTGATGTGAAACTTTATATTTCCTAAACTTTTTATTGTTCCACCTTCCTGTAGGAAAATTAGAGTAGTGGACTTCTTGACCACACAGTTGGAGAGTGAGTCTAGTGAGTTGCCAAAACGAATCCTGTTGCTGGGTAGACCCGAGAGTGGCAAGACAGCACTGTTTGCTCTGATACTTCACTACTGGTTACATGACAAAACTAAGGCGAGTCCCATACTTTGCTTGCACATATTAAATACATGGAAACCCTATATACAGTACAGTATATTGGTATAATGGTAGGTGTGTCATGCATTTAATAACAAGATAACATATATCACTAGTTTCTTTTATAGATTTATGTAGAGTATTTGACTCAGTATTTCAATATACTTCTTTTGATAAAACAAAAAATAATTTGAATTTTTTTTAGGGTGAAGATACAGTATTTCTAAAATGTACATCAGGTCACCTCAAATACAAGCAACACCGTACATAACACACTATCCTCAATATTATTGGTTACCAATGGAAAATGCAATTTAAATGTTTTTCTTATGATTTCAGGTGAAAGGCCTTGATAATTTTGACATTTTAGTAGCCATCCAGTGCCTCAGCCTCGACTTACAGCCATCTATAATAGTTGACTTTAAAAAGGATTTACTGGCTCGTCTTCCTAAATCAACTGACAAATATGGAGAGGACAAGATCCTACAGTTCATGAAGGAGATGAAAGTCCTTATTTTAATTGACTCCCTGGATTACATTCCTACAGCAACACTTAGTCAGGACACCTTGAAACCATGGGAAGACAAGAGGATTGTTATCTTTAGTCGGTTGAAGTTTATGGAGGAAGCGCCTAATCATCCTTTAAAGTATCAGCAATCCAAGGACAACATGGTGTTGCAGCTGTGGGGTGGAGTGCTGGACAACCCTTATTCGCTGTCTAAGTTTCTGTCAGCAGCTAACTCAGATTTGTTTGGTGGCCTCTCAGGTAAACTATTTGAGGATTATTGTAAGAGGTTGTGTGAAGTTAAGAAGAGGAGTTTTGATGAATTCATGAATCACATGAAAGAATTGCTAAAAAATTTAGCAACAGAAATGAGAAAACCCTTCAATATTTACATGGCTTTCCAAGCATGGGAGAAAGATACTGCCATTAATGCAAAGACTGTATCAGAAATGTATACAAAGTGCTTTGAACTATGGACTCAAAACTACAAAACAAAGGTACACCTACCAACATCAGATCTGAGGAACTTAATAGTCACTGGGAGTAACCAGCTAAGTACTTTTGTATACCATGCATTTGACAAGAAACAGGAGCATTTGTTAAGTGAGGATTGTCTGGCAAAGGAGTGCAATTACTTTGATGAAATAAAACCCTTCATTGTTCACTTGCTAGTGCCTCATTACAATGCCTCTGGGAAGATACAGGCACTCACATTTAGGATCAAAGCTCACCAGACTTTCTTTGTGGCAAAGTACATGGTTACTCAGATCAGCCATAACCTTGATGAAATTAAGAACTTGATGATTTTAGAAAATTTTCATCAACTTTGCTCAGTTCTTCCTATGACTATAGGGTTAATGCGCAAAGATTCACTGTCTAGTGAGTTTAAATCACATGTAATTAAACTTGGAAAATTTATTTCAGAAAATGAGGTCATAGACTATTTTAACGATCCAATCATCAACTCTACTGTTCAGGTCTTGGCTGAGAGTGGTCTCTATAACAAAGTTGATGACAAGTATGATAAATTTGTTAAAGATCTTCTGCAAAACATTAAAAATAGTAATTGGCATATCTTAGATGGAAATCTTCTCCCACAAGCTCTTCAAGCACTGTGTGAGTGTGGACATGAAGCTAATGAAAAGAACAAGACACCACAAAAACTGAATTTGAGTCTCAGTGGTCTTTCAACAGAGATGCCAGGAATTCCTGATATACTGAAGGCTGTTCGAGGATGTGACATTAGAATTGGCTTACTCATGAATAGTAGCTTTATGGGTACAGATGAAAAACCTCTTGATGAAGTGATAAAGGTATTGCATGGTCGAGGTCATGCCTCACTTGGTAAATTTACTGGATACCTCAAAGATGTTAGGATTCTTGACAGTCACCCCTCTACAAGACGCTTGTACAGCATCAGCCTCCGAATCAAGGAATATGAAGAGTATGAAAATTTATACAAAATAAGTAAGAACAGTCACAAACTGAGCTGTGTAGTTATTCGAATTCCAGATGTTTCTTCAATCAAGGTGAAGAAACTAAAAGAGCTACCACCATCCATAACCCACCTGAAAGTGTGTATAGAGGGTGTCACAGACGAAACCATTGGCCCTGCCATTGCAATCTGGAGGGCAATACGAGGCAACACTCAGAGAAAAAACCAGGACTATCTACGCTTCTGGGATGTTGAAGAGAGGAAACTGAGCCCTTCTGGTGTTATTCAACTCATTAATGTCGATTTACCAGCTGATCGCATTGATATCCCCCTCGATCAACCTCTGAATGACTATGATGAAAAGAGGATACAAGAAAAACTGAATGAAAAAAAATCCAAATGCACAGTTAAACTTATGGGGTCAGTCAAGTACCCACGTCGTGACCTCAAGTACAACAAGGATGAGAAGTAAATTACCATCACAATAGCAAAAAACTAAAATCAATGTGTCCTTGTGATGGTAAAAATATAATATACTGTATCTGTAAAATACAATTACTGAATTTTGAAGAAAAGCAGCAAATCCATATGTATCAAAGATAAATTTTTGTTATGTAATTACAGTGAGCCCTCACTTTACGAGGTCAATTGAACCCACGGCAGCCCGCGTAAAGTGAGAAACGTGTAAAGTGAACAACATAACATATGGGATTAATTGAAATAGAGACCGGGCCGACCCCCAAACTCCACTTTTTCAGACACAATACCTACGTTGTAGTAAAAATAACTTCTTAATTTTATGATAGTATGCACACACAATTAATAATTAAGAGAAATATCAATAATATTAGGTTTTTTAACACTTACATTAGTAGAAAAGATGGCTGGGCACACGGGGATGGGGGTTGGTTCCGAGGCAGAGGGCAGATTATTGGCCCTCACCTGTATCACTTGTATCAATTGTATCACTATCCACCACAGAGGCTTGCAGGGCCTCTTTGTCAAACCCCTCAAAGTCCATATCCTCACTATCATTATCACTATCACTGACTTGGGCCGGCTGTGGTGGGTGGCGGGTGAAGAACTCGGTAATGTTTTGATGACTGGGCGACCCTGTGCGCACCCTGCTCGCGCCGCTCTCCGCGTAAAAGGGTACACACACCGCGGAAAGTGAGCATTCCGTGTTCGGCAGGGTACCGCGTAAACGTGGAAACGCGTAAAGTTGGGACCGCGTAAAGCGAGGGTTGACTGTATATGAAGTAAAAGCAATAATGGGACAAGAAAAGTACAGTATTCTGATTATTTTTATGGGGATGTGTGATCTAAGGTGTTTCTCACCACACAAATACTTACTGTACTTAGTTGAGGTCACTGCTATGACAGAATCTATTTTGTCATCTCCAGAATTACGTCCAGATACCATTGCTGTCTTATTCGATTAAACATTGTGGTTAAAAAAAATGAGTTCAAGATGAGGCAAATCAATCAAAGTTTACCAGCAAGCTGCATGTCGTGATGCAGTTTGTGCTATACAGTATAGGATGTCTGAAATATCTGTACTCAATGGTATATTTATCAGTAGTACATTAAATTTCTTTATCCAATGGAATTCACATTAAATTTTGAAAAAGATCATTTCTAGGTTGTCTAACACACCTTTTGTTAACTTGAACTTCGGTCTGTGAAATAAATATAATCCTCGCTGGACGAAGAATTTCAAGATATTTACGGCATCATTGAATGTTTACCATTTTTGACCGACTATTATGATCACCCCAACAAAATCTAGGTGTAAATAGGTAATAATGGGTCTTCAATTAATGTTAATTTGATGCTTGTTGTAACTTGTTAGGTATTACTTGTTTATGACTTTGATGTAAATATTATTGATTGTCACCAGGAATACCTATAGTATAAATTAAATGCCACATCAGTTTAATGTGATTGTTGCCAAAAATGTAAAATGCCAACACTTGGGTCACCATTAATAGTTGCCATGGGTATAAAATTAATTACTTTCCAAATGTCATTATTTGCTTAAAGGTAATATAAATAGCATAAGTTTTTACTGGGATAATCTTTCAACATAAAGTATCTCTTTTGTTAAATATAAAAACTTCCCTAATTTGTACATCTGCACTGACTGATTAAATAACTTGTTGATTATCAGTATTTGTTTCCTCTACCTTGAGTAATAGTAAATTGACATACTGTACCTGTATACAAATTGTTTTTCACTTCCATTTTACATATTCTAGTCAAAACAAACTCTTGCACACTCTTGGGAGACTGAAACATGACTCAAATAAAGTGTAAGTACCAATACTCATTGTTTGATAACAATGAAGATATTTTTGTTTACTCAAGATGGCTCAGTTTATTAAGGATAATTTGGATGTTCCTGTCTCTCAATAGGAATTTCTCACATCTACAATACTACAACCAACATTGAACAGTAACTTGTTCACATGATTTTGATATATACACTTCTTATGTTATCCTATAAAAGAAACTCTGATATTAATAAGTGATCTAGTTTTGTTTTCTACTTCAGTCCTTGAGGAACTAAATGAAATACTCACAATTGACCTCCCTTCACAAGCCACTCTTAATAGCCTGTACTCTATATTACAACCAGAATATAAAGCAGGATAATCTTATATAAGTAACCTAACTTCCTATCCACCTCCCTATAAGACGTTTTAACTTGGAAGGAACTGTTCGGCTGAACCATGCAACTGACATTCAAGCAAACTTGAGATAACAAACTGTCTCGGAACTTTGGCTCAATGAGCTTTGAGTTTTGCTTGCTCTGAAAGCAACAAATATTCAAAAGACTCAAAGCTTTGTTTAAATACTTGTACACTACACTGGATAAGGAGCATTTAATTAAGTGCATATGGACAATGGGACTGTAACCTGCTGTTGGAGCATGTCCAGTACACTGGCAAGGACAATGGTGCTCCAGCTGTTTAACTCTATATTTCAAAATTACAGTCTTCTGCAATACTTAAGTGTTCTCCAAAATATTTTGTGAGTTGTTACTTTTTGTACACAACAAACCATAATACTAATTTTATGTTAGCAGCTTCTGCTTGTTCAAGACATGACATTCTATTTGTAAATAATGTACCCAAAGTGAATAGAACTATAAATTTATTCAAAAGAACTGATTTCTTACTACTGTGTCCCTATCACTACGACTAAGTTAACTAAAAGCATACAGTATATATTTTCAAATCTACTTAAGGGAAAAATTTAAAATGTGGAATCCCAAATCACCATCAAAGAAAAACCTCAACCTGGGGGTCACACCACCCATCTTCACATGTAGGGAATAGTACACAATATGTGAAAAAAAATCATGTTTCATACAAAGACCTACTGAAGAGTACAAAGATTATCTTCTATTCAAGAACAATAGGTACTAAAAGTAAATATGAACACAAAAAGTTTTAATGGCAAGTTTTGATAGCAATATACATAGATAATGAAATTAAATCTAAATATAGAGATCTTCAGGGCAATGCTGTAAAAGTACTGTATCTCCACCATCTACAAAATCCAGTAACAAGAACTAAAACTACCCCAATTCCTAACCAGTTTTGTACTTTTGGAAAGTATAATATTCTTTGTTACCATGAAGGGCACAGTAAAATGAGGTAACATATGAGCTCACAAATATAATTCTGTCTAATTTTTTGATAGATGCCTGCAAAGTTAGCAAGTTTTCTTATCACATCTTGCCAGTTTCTATTTCAATCCATTTTAAGTTATTCATCAATCTCATGAGAGGAAGTCACTTTATAAGAAGATTTTTTGATGCTGGTAAGGTTGTCAGGTTTTATGCTATACAGAATATTTTTAATTTGTAATTTTAATGATTTTTTTGCTTACTAGTAATTCATGGGATGACACTCTACTTACCGGGTATATAACAGAGGTGGTCGGCTTTTTACAACACTTTGAAAATAATATGATCATCTGCGAGCATGAACTCCGGATGATGATATTCAGCGATATTAATGAAAGGGCCATAAAGAAACTCATTAGACAAGTGGTTCACATTATACATTTCTTTACCAGCACCACACAACAATTGATGAAATTTACTGTATAGTGTGACTCTTTGCTAAATTTCAATGGTATTTAAATAAACATTCCTTTGGTTGTGGTCTTATATAGCCCTGATATGCAACCCTTGGTCCACAGGTTGGAGTTGGCCCCCACCAATTCCTCTTCCATCATTGCCAAATACCAATTTAGTTCATCTCTGTACAGTGAATGAAATTGGGTAGCACTGATCATAAGGTTCTCTGCATCTGGCTTCAGCACATAAAAAGGTTGACAAAATGACACTCTACTGAAATATGTTATACATCTGAACACTACATCTATTTTCTTAATATTGTACTGATTAACATAGCAGAACTTGAATAAAATCTGACTCATTCTGGTGTATGCTAATGATCACTACTGAAGGAGTTATTTTGTGAAAGTGAAAAATGAATAAGTTTGGTTTATTAAGATGGGATGTAGAAAAACCTATGTATTGTACAATTGGGATTTGTAAGAACTATATGCTGGGAAACATGAAATATTAACTCAGTTTATACAGTGTAAATCAGCTAAAAAAATGAGATGAAGAGTCTATGCTGCACTAAATTTCTGCCTCCCAGCACCTTTAAGGGGAAAGAGCACATAAGAATCTAGACAGTTTTTTTTCGCAAAACTTTTGGGAGTGAGACTATCAGTGCCAGTCTGTGTAGTTGTGTACAGTTCACCACATTCCTCAGTGTAACAAAAAACATTAAGTTTTTTATGCTAAATCCATAAATTTTGTACAGTAATATAACTACAATCTTAATGAACTTATAATTCAATTCAATTCTAGTTTCTTTACATAATATAATATTATCTTTGGAAAAAAATTAAATATGTACTGTACACTCAAGGGTAACTTATTTATACTCAAAATTTCATTATAATGCCCCATATTCCAAGGTATAAAAGGCACAAAGATGATATAACACATACCAAAAGATTTTACACCCTAAAGAATATATATATATATATATATATATATATATATATATATATATATATATATATATATATATATATATACAAGATCTCGTTAACGAACTCAATCCGTTCCAGAAGGTCGTTCGTTAACCGAAAAGTTCGTTAACCGAAACCATTGTTTCAATGGGTTTTTGGGTAATTGGTTCCAGCTCACTGAAAATTTCCTAAATTCAACAAAAATGGTAGAAAGGTTCACTTACTTTGAAGTGTGTATGTAGAAGGCTCCTGGATGATGATGATGATGATGATGATGATGGGATTTAGAATGGGGGTGGAGGAGAAGGAAGAAGAGAAGGCATTGGGGTGGAAGAGAAGTCACCCCATGGCGCCATTTCACCAATAAAATTTTAGCTCTCTCGGTGTAATTCAAGATATTTTCTTTAAATCAACACTGCACTGCATTATATATTGTCAATATGTAAAATATATTTCAAAATGACCAATAATTTGCTTGGAAACACAGAAAAAAAGCGTTTAGTTGAAGAGAGTCTCAAGCAAGATGTTACCTCCAGTGAAAACAGAGAGAGACTAACGCCTGTTTGCTGTGTTATGAGGCTGGATGCCGCGCATTAAACTAGTCACTTTACCTTCAATTATGTTCAATAATTGTTAAAATCACTAAAAAATTGAATATTAAACTTTTAAAATTATTGAATAGTATAAACTTCTTGATATTTACTAAAATAGTAAGGAATTTAAGCCCTAGAACCGATTAATGTATTGGCGGACTGATACTAAAGCTGGTTGCCCGGTCAGTGCAAGCGAAAACATGTTGAGGTCGGTTCGTAAGATATTCGTTAACCGAATTTTTGTTCGTTAACCCAATTGAAGATCCCGCGGAAGGCAGTTCGTTAACTGAAATTTCGTTAATCTGTATGATATATATATATATATATATATATATATATATATATATATATATATATATATATATATATATATATATATATATATATATATATATATATATATATATATATATATATATTTATTTTGTAAACAAAACACTGTACTGTAAAGAGAGAATGGTACATACAACAATACTATCTGTTACATGTAAAGTACCAATCCTTTCTTTACCACAAAACAACTCTATGGTGTTTTACATTGTTGAGTATGGTATTACTGTACTATACTGCAATAATTTGTGGTATATGAAGGATTAAGAAAAGTAAATTTTCTCGAAACTGTTTACTTTTATAATTTCTCAAGAGCTATTAATTCCTTCTAAGCTGGAGTCCTGAAACATCATTGAGCCTATTATATTACCTCCTCCTTTATAGCAAAACAAAACTTTCACACACAAATACCTCGCACATCAGTGTATTGTATTAATACAGTACCAGGGTTATAGTTTGTGGTGAAGGAGGATTACTATCACTGTGGTTGTATGATCTGTACACTCTGCCAAAAGTTATAACTTATTGTCTAATTACTGAATTTTTACTTCATTTTTGGCTGAAAATGAAGTGAATTCCTTAGAGGTGATATAACATACTTTACTCAAAATATGGAGCAGAAAATGAAATCTTCAAGAGCATTAACTTACAAATACAAATGAATAACTATAACTGTGGGAGGGTTTGTGAGGCTCTTAATTCCGGTCAAACACAGGGAATATGTAGGAGTAGGTGAAAAAATAATATGCTTTTCCATCTCTACACTGAATCTTTCAGTATCAAAACAATTATGAATAATGAAGAATGACTAGCATGTTAACAAAATTACAAACTCAATCATCACTATTATTTGCATATATAAAACAAAGGGAAAATTTACTCTCATATATATACAGTATGTTAAACTCTAACAGTTGCTACTGCTGCCTAAGTCTCTCCTACCATCATACAGATTACATACAAATCTTAAACAGGAGACTTGCAAAATAAACCTACTATCTTGGCCTGATTTTATGAAACAACATACTGTACTGTCCATGTCTCTCTTAAACTGTGATCTCTATTTCCGGTGTTTCCGTCTTGCCCCGTGTGACTTGGAGGTGTCTGAGGGAATGTATAGCTTCCCTCCCTGGAGTTCCGGATTACTGTTGACTGTAGACAAAGCTTCTAAGTGGGCCATGACATCTACTACTTGGGATTCCAGCTCAACTATTCTCTGTCGGGTGACATGTTACCGTGTTACGTACGTACAATGTAATATATCTCTGTTTTTTTTAATTATCTTTGAGGTTTTTGTGCTCACTGATCTACCCCACACAACAATTAGTGAGGAGTAATCATGTTTTTTTCGTATGATGATCATAAGATTTTTAATTTTACCCAAATATAATTAAAAAATGTCCCATTATTCATACTATGGAGCCTTACACTTAGGTTAAATGATTTATTTCTAATACTGAACTCTATTGTAATCCAAATATTTTTGTTGCTTTACCAATAAATATATTAGCTTAATCATCATCAAAGTTTTAAGCCATTATTCAGGCTTGTGTGGGTTAGCTGCAATTACATGGAATCAGAGCAGATTGTTTCATGTAAGCAATGATATCATTTAGCCTTTTCCAAAATCTGGATTATGACAACTTGATCCCAGGGCTTACATTCTCAGAATGAATTGTATGAGGTTGAATAATTAATCCTTTCTTTGCTGCTCTCCAGATTACCTGTTCTTTGATCCAAAGGAATGTCAATTGCTTGTGGTAGATTTTGGGAGAGCATCTTATGTTTCAAGCCAGTGTTCTGCCTCCCTAACTTTTATTAAAAATGTGTTCCATTTTTTTAAGTAAATGAGCTTGGGAGATGTGCTCACATGATACAGGGGAACTTTCAGTGGATGGGCCCTTCCAAACTCTTGGTATGGGTTTCATTAACATGCCCTTTTTCCATGTGCCTTCTGGCAGTTCTGGTAACTAGGATACAGCAAATGTTCTTGATCCTATTGAATCTTGCTAAGTGTTCACAGATGGTTGGCAGATGATGACAAGTCAGGTCAGGGTAGTTCTAGTCATAGAGGCCAGTAAGATAAAGTAAAAGAAGAGAGAGAAATTCCAGTGTGAAGAAACATTTGGAGGGCCGATGACTTCTCTCCTCAGTCTGACACTGAAAACTCCGACCTACACCACTAGAAAATGTTTTATTCCGTTTGCCCGGTATAAATGGTGCAATCTCCAGGACAGCAAATCCAGCAGGCAACAAATGATCTAGAAAGGGACATCTTGGTATGTTTTGTAAACCCAACCAGTGTTATGTTTACATGGATCCATGGAAAAAGTTACTATACATATTGAACTTGCATGAGCAACATCCATTAACCCTTTTCCTTCCTTTCTTACGTATTTTTTCAATGATCCACCAATACCTAAGTGACACAGTAATATATAAAGAGATAACATTCCTTTTAATATCTTTAGTCCTCCACGATATCACTTATGGATCCTCACACCCAATCTAATTGTAAGAAAGAGTGTGTGTCAATCATTGCATCTGACTTTTAAGAAAGACCAGTAGGACATAAACTCCATTAACACAAGATACTGATAAAATTTTTCTGTTTAATACCTCAGAATCAACTTTCCTCTTACCTTATCTTTCTGCTCGAGTGTTGTTTGTAGGGTGACGACTTTGGAGACCCATTCTTGCTTACCCTGACGCATTGATAAATTTAGCTGCTGTTCTGTCTCCAAGTCCTTAGTGAGCTGTAAATATGGCAATACAGTACATGTACCATAATGTTATATCTAGGGACATACACAACAGTAAAAATTTCAGGTTATATGGCTACTAATATTTATTTCAAACTTTTAATGCTATGTATTGAGTTTACAGTAATTATAACGTTCCTAATATCACTTCTAAAACTACTGTTACTTGGTCTTTCATAGATTGTCAACATCCACCATTCCCAGACATGACTAAATGAAACAAAACAATTCTTTCAGAAGTTAGTAGCAAAATCTCATTCCAGTACTACTTACTTTAGTAATTTTCTGATTCATCTGCTGGAGCTTCTTATCCTGAGTTTGTTTGTCTCGAGTAACATACACCAATTCTTGTTTCAATTTCTGCATATCTTCGGTTAATTTTTTGGCCACACATCTACAATCTTCAGCCTGAAATATTGACACACTTGATATAGAAAGTTCCAAACTGAAGGTGTATTCAGATTATGACAGCCAAATGAGATATTAACCTTCCATTCTCCATTATAACTATCATTGTAAACTTCCCAACAAAGGTATCTTGGTATAAACTAAAATTCCTCTCTCCTCAAGCTAAAATCTGACATCGTCCACTCCCTCCCTTCTTATAGCACATATACCGACTGATCCAACGGTTTTGAAAACAAGCCAAAGCAGTGTATGGTCAACTACTAAAGTCAGCTTGCTTCTCCCCCTGAACCACAGCAGTACACTGATAAATTATTCTGTCCATAAATGCTTCGGATTAAATTGTCTGAATCTTGGGGTTTGTGTTTCAGGAGGAAAGACGAACAGACTTAAGTAGTTGACTGTACAGTAAAGGTTGACCCTCTCTTATCAGGCATGCCATCAACTGGCAACTCCCAATTAAAAAGAATTACCCATTAAGGCTTTCCAATTAACAGCAGCACACTCAACCACCACACAGCTGTCCAGTCAGCCCTAGACCCAATTCTACCATTATTTCATACCATTCAAACACTAATCACCTAATAAAACATTCATAAAATGACAAGAAAAAATCTTACTGAATAATAACTTAAGAATAAAAAATCAACCTGATAACCAAACGTACAAAGGATAAGAAGAAATAAGATTGTCATGTCCATGCTCTCAAAACACATAAATGACAATACTCCTAACATTTATAATAACACACATAGCAAATATGAATTTTTTCACACAGATATACAAGAAACACAGCATTTTACAAAAGAAAAATAAGAGAACATGCAGATAATGGAAGTCTGTGGCCCCTCAGTGTAATCTGACATTAGTTATGTACACTATACAATTATTGTAAAATGTCACCAAGAAGAAAAATAAAGGGCTTCATACTTACCTCTTGCAAGGCCCCAGACTGTGCCTCTGCAATCTTATTCTCAAAATACTGTCTTTGAGATTCAAGTTGAGATGACAAAAGGTGAGTATACTCCAGTTGCAAAGCAGTTAATTTTTCTTCTCCTTGCACCATTTCCTCCTTTGTGTCTGCTACTGGTGATGATCGCTCGTAGGACACAACCTGTAAACATCTGAAGTATTAAAGATGAAGGCTCTGCTAACCTGAGCAAAAAGACATTGTAGCACTGTCCACTAATGTGTGTGTGTGTGTGGCACAGCCAGGAACAGAGTTGGAGCAAGGATCCATTGGTGCACATGTGGTGATGTTTCCCCAAATACTGTAATGCGTCACAAATATCAAAATGATAAATGTACTGTATTGAATACTTATACAGTATAACATAAATGTAACTACTGTACATACAGTACCTACACACAACATACTATTATTAATATTTCAAAATTATGCATTATACATATTATATAATAAAGCTTGCATTATTATATAAATATATACAACATAAGCATATGAAAAAAAGATACATATAATACATCTACAATATATCTTGAATACAGATTCTATGAGTGGTGGGTAAAAAATAATGTTACCAAAATCTGGAGACTGAACAGGTTAAACAACCTTAGAAAAATTAACTTATGGTAGTAATAATAAAACATATCGTTACCTTGCCATCTCCTTCACTCTGCAATAAGCGATGTACATAGTTGTCTCTTACGTAGTCCCACACTCTGTTATTGCCTACTTGTAATGCAAACAGATGATTTGTTTCCATAAAGTGTCTGAAATCAAACAACATCTGTCAGAACATATCAATATTCATGTACAAGTGTATCTGAACACTGGTGACACTAATAATGTGTTTATGTCATTTATATCATTTGAAGATTGACAAGAAATATTCACCAGATATTTAACTTATATTTTTTAATTCTTAACAGATAAAACTTTTCAAAAGACTATGGGTGAAACTTCATATTAAAAAAAATGCAACTCATCAGTAATACAGTGAAACCTCCATATAACGGGGGTTTCACATCTAACCGTCCCTCGATATAACGGACTTTCATCTCTATATAGTTCGTTACATGGAGGTTTCATGTCTAACGGGACCTCAATATAACAGACTTCTCCATGTAGTCAGTTAAAAAGATGTTTCACTGTAAAGTACATCCACTTTTGTGATAACATCCAGTAAAGGGGTGAAATACACACACCTTACAGTAGTGGGTCATGATTGACTTTACTTACCATACTTCTCTTATTCTTTATTTTTTTGGTAATGCTCTAAATATTTAAGGTACAGTCCACGCCCCTTGTAAGTCATACAGACAGGCGGCCTCAAAATTACTAACCATTAACTTCGCTGGAGCCGTCCCTCCCAAAACACGCAAGGTGTATAGCCAACGCTTACCCCCGAACACGTCAGTATGGACAGGTTGTAGAAACAGAAAGAAAATACATCTTTAAAGTTACTTATCCATGCTTATGTGTTTGGGGATAAGTGCTGACTTTACAATGGAGTTAAAAAAAGAAAAGGGGGGTTGAAAAATTTAATTTGCTTAAAATCTCAACAGAGTAAAGGGATTCCTTGACATGTAGATTAAGAATCTGTGGTCATAAAGTTGAAATTCTGATAATTAATTGTTCTATCAGTCACTGGATTTTGAAATTTTGAAAATTAATCTCCCTGATTAGTTTTAGCATCATTTGTGATGAAATTTTGCTTAAGTTATCAGTAGAGGTTGTCCTCAACGTGCAAATTAAGGATCTGTGTAAAGTCAATGCTTACCTCCAAACAAGTTAGCAGGAATAAATAACTTGTAAAATGTGTTTTCTTTCTGTTTCTAAAACCTATCTATACTAACGTGTTCGGAAGTAAGCGTTGGCTGACCACTGATTAATTGCCTGGTTTGTATGTCTCGGGAGGTGGGGGAGGGATGGACCAAACAAAGTTGCTGGTTAGAAATTTTGCGTCCGCCAGTCTGTGTGGCTTATAAATGGCGTGGACTGAACAAAGGGCTTCTCTCTGTATTGACAAAATGTCATAAAGTTCAATCAAAATGGATATGCATAATGAAAATACACAAACACGTCTACAGTAGTACTATGATGCAGTGAAGAAGGTATAATACTAAGATGCCCACACTTACCTATGAGCGTGGCCACCAACATAGCGTCCGCAGCCAACGTGGCCACAGATGAGACATATCCAGAGAGAGTCGGCTGAACCACACAGTGAACACCTCTGATCGGGCGTTTCCTCTGGCGTCTGGCAGTACCGGCACACAGGACAGCTAAAGAGGGGAAGGATGCCTTTTATCAATGAGCAGTAAACAAAAAAAATTAATCGACATTTTTGCCATTCACTATTACGTACATTATGATCAGCAGTGTACTGTAAAGTTCTACTACATATACTACAACACTGAAAATTACATAAAGACAACATTGTTTCTGTTAGTCAATACAGTTGTATGATGAAAAAAATAAGGCTTTGAAGAAATAGTTTATTTATTCAACCAATACCCTGTATGGAACTAACTACAGCATTAACAAAAGATATGTGCTAGGTGCAGCCCAGGTAGAATTCTTGGGCTAAGTTCAAGAGATGCTTATTGCCCACCATTTACATTTATTACATGCATGTGACAAGAGAAGGAAAAGATATAAAAAATTGTGACAATGTTTGTTGTAAGAGAGTCTAGGTAAGAGGGCCAATGGGCCATGGCAAGGCTCCCAAACATACTCCAGCAATATCTCGCCAAACATGGGGAGGGATTTCTGCATCACCCCATATAATATGATGACCACAACTAACTCTATAACCTGAAAGAAATTAATTAACTTATCTACCAGAAATACATACTGTATAACATATCCCAAATTCAAAACAAAGAGCCTCACACACATTCTGCTAAAACATCTGAGACCAGCTTAGTTTCTTGGTGTCATCAGGGGCCACCAAAGTCCCCCTGTATCAACAAGAGCCACAAAATTCCCCCTAAAGATTCACTGTGATGACACACAAGACGAGAAACAATAAGAGTCTACCCATCCACATATCATACTCAGCCCACTGCCCCCACATGGTATTAACAGACACGACATCTTTCAATTCATCAGTTGGACAAAGACGGGGATACATCATGGCCAAAATCTGGGATAAAGCCCAATCTGTCAAGAAGGCTCAAGTAAAATGTTTTGGTTTGTTGGAACATCATGTTGAGAATGCTCAAGTGTTGCTGATGTGTGAGATGTGCTGACACCTGAGCTGGAAGAGACAAATAGGGTCGCATTTCTTGTTGACATCACCCAGGATATGCCAGAAGATGTGACTTAAGACTGATGAGAAGCCACTCTCCATCATGTATTGTATTAGGTAACTATGCTGTAATGTCATCTGCAGACTTCTTCACTTAATCCAGGTATGTATTTAGATGAATAGGGCTGCGGGCCTCCTCAGATTGGAGAAGATGTGGGACGACTATCTGAGACCTGTTCCTTTTGCAGCACTGATCCTAGATCTATGAGCAAGACACAATCCCTGTCTATCTAACAAAGAAAGGAGTCTTGGGGGTGGGGGGGGTGGGGAGGTAGGGTCACCTTTTGCCGCTGCTGAAAGACGTTGACGGATATGCAAGCAGAGCTGTTGTACAATCTTCTGTTATGACCCTGAGCATTACGGGAAGTGAATACAACACTCTTTTTGATAGTGCACCACTGCCAGGAAGGAAGACGAGCAAAATAAAAACACGAACCTCCCACTGGTAAAGATATAGATCCCATTGGTGTGGTGGAAAAAGCTGGAAATCAGATGCTGAGCATAAAGCATGTAACAAGGGAGGGTCTTGTTTGTCCTGGCTAGCTTGGTGACCTCTGAACATGCATTATCTGTTGCTGGGTATACTGTCAACCTGTGCAGAATTCATTTGAATCCAGCAAATCTTTTCAATGGTATCAACTCATTTAATGATATCAACTGAAATTCTGATTCTTATGCAACTGGTGCATGACATTTAACTGTATCTACTTGCAATCCACATCATATATGTATCTTTAACTGTGTTTGATGTATACAATAAACCCTCATTTAACCAAACTTCACTTTAGAAATCTCGATAAACTGGACCCTATCCGCCCATCTGTACTTTATTTTTTATTATCGTTAGACAAAGACGAGCCTTTAATTTAAGCTGTTTAGAAATATACATTATTTAGTTCCATAAATTTTTTCTTTATGCATGAAATTAACCAGTGACCACCTGCATTGTGAGGTCATCAGACCCTCAATTAATTATTAAAATATCTCTGCAACTGATTCAACTCTGAGTTACTTGCATGCCAAAAGTTAAAATGCATCCATGCTAGATCCTCCAGCTCATGATGAGATTACAGACCCATCTCATATCCAGCCATGCAGTACCCAGAGTTAGTGTTTGGTGTAGATGATAATCAACGCCAGATAGCAAAGGAGAACCTCTCTAGTGAATGCCTGCTTTTATAGCCTGATTAAACCACTTGCACAATGTGTAACAAGCATCTATGAAGTGTACTGTTGAAGTGTCACAAAAGATGTAAATTGAAAAATTATTCAGAAATGTTTTTTTTATGTTAAAGGGAAACTTTTGTCAAAACTTACATAGATAAAAGAAAAAGTTAAAATGTTGACAGATCCTTTAAAAATAGACGTACATACAACAGTATGGTATTTACTTTCAGTACACTTATGGTAAACAGTAGTAAGAACACCAAAGAAAATGATTAGTTATGCTGGGGCTGTTCCTTGAAATACTGTACATCATACATTATCTTAACATTATGCTTCAAGTTTAAACAATTGAAATTTATCCTGGAAAATGTTCCTGAGAGAAGGTCAACAACAGCTGGACACTGTACGTATATGATATAGGGTTCTCATGGGATATTGCAATAGTTGTTTAAAGGAATGTTAAAAATAATTTCCTAATTCAAGATTCTATAGAAAGAGGCACATTAAATTAAGAAATGGCTTAAAATAAACAATGTATCCATAAATTCTCCTAATAAAAATTACATTAAATCCTTTTCTATAGTACAGTATACAGAAATAGAGTGTAACACTTTAATACACTTATTCACTATATTTCTTCCTTACTCAAGTCTTGGTGACACTTCAACAGTACATTATTTAATCCCCAAGAATTATTCCTTAGTGCATTAGTGCTCCAGACAGAACATTATCAAACTTACACGAGAGCCTCTGCTGCATGGTGGCTGTATATGACCAACATCAAGAGAGCTATATTTAGTCCATGACTACAGAGGTCAGTTGGCAATGACAGTGTGACATTTTGTGTGCAGTAAAACACTGGCTAGTATGAACACCCTGTCATTACAGAAAACATCCTATATTTGTCATGTTTGTTGTCAACTTGTTATAAATCACAATCCTACACATGAATTCAGATACCTCTATTTTTAAATAAAAACTGACAATTTCTTAACACATCCAGTATTCTGTTTCAGCATCTCTTCTAAAATTTGCTTCATGAAAATGTATTCTTAAATTTCTATAAATTAATATAAACCATTTACTATTACCAGAGGTTTTATCCTTCCAGTAAAAATGAAATAAAACTACCTATATGAGATCTGGATTAGATCTTGTTATGTATCATATCAGGTGGCCATATATTAACTCTCTATAGAACCAAAAATTTAACCTGAAATATCTAACATTATTAAAAAAAGTTAAATCAATACTGTAATAACTCACTAACAGCAGAGATCAATACTCTATAAGGTAAACGATAAAAATGGAAAAGTTTTGTGACAGTCAGGTACAGTAGACAGTGGTGCCCTACAAATTTTCAAGGCTTGGTGTGGAATAAGGTGGTACAGTTGAGGAAATGTGTTCCTACACCCACTGTGGTAACCAGTGTCTCCAAACAGTCAACCTGTGTGACCTATAGCAAACCTATCCACCAATCACATCCGTCATTACACGACCAATACCCATTCATTCATAAATAGTGATACTACTACTGCGACATTGCCATTTGGAGACACAGGTGTAGGAACACATTTCCAGAACTGTACATTAGTGAAACTAACTTCTTATGGGAAACAGAGGTTAATATGCAAGTACTGTATATCTTGAAAAGAATACAATCCTATCCACAATATTCTTTTCTAAGTAAAAATCAAAGTACAGAAGTTCTCATTCACAACAATTTTGCACTGTAGTTCTAAATTCAATTTTTATTAAGAAAACATTTTGTTCATCACACTGTATTCCTTATTTTACAATAATATCATAGGAAAAATTTCAAACCGAAAACACGTATTACTTCCAGCTGAGCAGATATCAACGAGAACCTTCTAGAAATACAGAGGCATCAGTTGACACACGGCAGCACGAAGGCGAATACCTGTACATACACTGTGTATTCAATAAATCATAAATGACAGAACCACAACTTATGTAATTCTTTTATGTACTCTTACATTTATCACTAGCTTATTGTTTTATTACCATAAAAGTGTCTTTGAAACCTTTTTATTTACTTGAAATTAGGTTACAATTATATGTTAAACATTTAAGAATTGCTAACTAATAAGTCACACACACATTTATGGGGATCACTGTATTAACTGTGCTTACTATAAAGAGTATTTTAACTACAGTACCTGAATCTGGTGATAATACTGCAGCAATAGAAAATAATAATACTGTACTATAATTTCATCAACTACACTAATAATTATCCTATATAAAGCGAATGATATGATGGATTCAATCTACAAAATGACTAAAGAAGAAACAAGTTTAAATAAAATGAGACTTCCTTCCTATTCATATGGGAAGACAGGATGGTTAAACACAGATAGATCTATAAGCAGACACTCAAAAGGTAATGAACAGATCAAGAGAGTTTATAATGAGAGCAATGCAGAACATACCTTGTGTCTCCCCATTTTGCTAAACACTCTCCATGAAACGAGTGGTTACACAATATCGTCAGTATTCCATCCACTGACTCATCCATCCGCTCAAGGCACACTGGGCAGTTGGGTAGCTCTGTGTGGCCTGGAATATATTGAAGAAAATATCATAAAGACTATCAATTCATCAGTGACATAAATCATCATCATTGAGTTACAGTCATTTTCCAGTGAAAGCTTTAAGAATAGAACAAAAATGGAACAAATCAACACAAAACTGAACCTACTAACATCCTCCATCTTAACCTAAGCTATTCTACCTGAAATCTTTGACCTAATCAAAATTCACACAATACAGTATATACAAGTTATTAATACAACTGACTATTTACAGTACAGTACTTAGCTATAGCAGTACAGTATTGTATCAGGGATAAAAATGAAAACTATCCCTGGAGAATATATACAATACAGTATACTGTACATAACAAAATCAATAAACAAACAAATGCCCATGTATTTATGCTTGCAGATTCATGATACCGTACTAAGAATATTTTACATTAATCAATTTCTAACCATTAAAACATCCCTGAGCATCCAGCAGAGTGCCTCCAGCAAACTAATTTTGGTGTAGTTCTACTCTTACACAACTCGGTACATTCTTACCTACTCACTTCTCACAACTGATCCCTTCATTTTTAACTATGTCAGCCAATAAAATCTCCTTTTTATCATAATTTTCAGTAAGAAATAAAGAAAATTTCCTCTTCTTTCACAAGCTTCATTCATATTCATATTTTCAATATTATTTTCTTTTGGCATAGGTGAGTGGGTAATCCTAGATTACCTCAAGGACAAGCAACCCTGCCCAGTTCCCACTTAGTAAAGTGGGTTGGCACTAGAAAGGGCATCCAGCTGTAAATTTTGATTCAAATTTGCCTGATGGCAACCGGAACACCATCCCATCAGGTGCTTACGATCATAAAACAGTGATGACAATGATTTTCTCTGGAGAAAGCAAACTAAACATTTTTTTTTCAAAAGTCCCCATTCAAACAGTCACAATTACCCAGTTTTCCTCCTCAGTAAGTTCTCACCAGGTATAGGAAGGCCTCCATTCTCAGATTCTTTGGTAGTCTCCACTCGAGCCACGTAAACTAAGCGGCAGATGTCTGGCTCAATACTATTGTAACGCTGACCGTTAAAAGTATTATAGAACATGTCTGCATCACCCTGAAAAGTGGAAAGCATTTAAAGAAAACTGATTTACTAGATATATCTAGCCACAAAGCTTTAATACAATACTGCAACTTGTATCAAAAGAAACTCCAAGATGGATGTGGCAGCACTAGGAGCATTAGCACATAAATTAGTGAAGACCAAAATTTTAAGAACTTTTGGATCAAACCCCCAAACTGTAAAACATATGTAATTGCAGCCCACCAACCCATAGTGAACCCTGTTAGTGTAATTAATACCAAAGTGAAGAGAAAGTGATAAAACTGCAGTGATAGATTACGTACTGGTAGACAGAACCATGAAGTGCTGGTGGATGTAAATTTAACAAAAGGAATGTCGTTCAGTTTGATTATAATGTACAGTACAGTAGTATGTATGTAAAAAGTTGAGGCTTCTTATATGATGGGACTGTATGTTAATCAGTGTTAGACAAAAGGGCACGACACTGAACAGATGATATCCTTAATACAGTACAGCGTACACCATGTAAGACATCAGGTAATATAACTCAGAAAACATAGATTAGGTGAAAATGAGGAAATACTTGTATCACCGGTATTTCTAATACTATAGTATTTTTAATTTCTTTTTGACAATATCTAAAGTTCTAGTCTATTTTCCAACCAGTTACATATTCTCAAATTCAACAAAACTTCAACAACAGATGTACAGGTTAACAGAAAGAACAAAATGAATAATTTTTTGTTAACTGGTTTTTGCTTCACTGTTGGGTATCAAGCAAAAATTCTAGGAGGGTTTGCAAAAGTAAATCCTGCCAGGTATATACTGTACAATGTGACAAAACTGGTATGTAAGGATCAATAAAAAGGTGTCAAGCCCAACATGAACCTTGCCTCACTTGTGTTCTAAATTTTAGGAGAACCATATACTGGTTGGGTGTGGGGTCTCGGATGATCCTCATGTGCTGTATCACAGAGTAACATGGAGCAGTAAACTGCAGCAAGTCGTGGATTGTCATTGATGTTGGGACTGCCAGCATACACAGCATCTCTGATCGTGATTCTGTCTCATCCAAACTTGTCTTCGTGCTAGAAAGTGAAGAAAATTTGTTACATATGGTGACTACCACAAATCATAAATAACTAAATAACTGTTACAAGATTACCAGTACAATCATTAACACCAGAGAATTTGTTTATGTTTCAAAGTATTTTACCCAGGCAAAATTTCAACCCACCAGCATAAGCAAAAAAAAAAAAAAAAATTAAATAAAAATAAATAAATAAATAAATAAACAAATAAAAATTGACAGATGGACTTGTGCTATCTCTCCACACAACTGTTCTAAGTCTTTAGTCATCCCATGCATGTGGAAGTGGAAGAATGATAGGAGATATACAGTATACAGTAGAGCTTTTAATGATACATACTTTTCCTTATAAAGATGAAGGATTCCATGTGTGACGTCAACCATGGGATTCCCGGAAACAAAAGTAACCCGATCTTTTCCGGAACGACCTCTCCTGCTGCTGCAGTTACTATCTTCGCTCAGCCCAGGAGTACCTTAGGGGGAGATAAGCCACCCATGTACACCTTGGGGGAGATAAACCACCCATGTATACCTTGGGGATAGATAAACCACTCATGTATACCTTGGGGGAGATAAACCACTCATGTATACCAGGAGATAAACCAGTCATGTATACCTTGAGGGAGATAAACCAGTCATGTATCCCTTGGGGGAGATAAACCAGTCATGTATACCTTGGGGGAGATAAACCAACCAGTCATGTATACCTTGGGGGAGATAAACCAGTCATGTATACCTTGGGGCTGATAAATCAGTCGAGCATATAATTACAAGATATAGTTTTTTGTTAAATATAGTCCATGTATATTGTTTAAATTTCCAAAACTGTTTCAGTACCTTCTTTACTGCTTGATGCACAAGGTGTGGACTCCTTGCTGGTTCTTGGTAACACGCCACCAGAGCTCAAATTTCCTGTTTCAGCACGAGTGTCCGCACCTGCAATATCTGTGGAGCCACCTTTTGCCTGGAAGTCCATATCAAATTCTTGATCTTCACTACTTGCTGCTGCTAAGGCCTGAAAGAAAAGAGCAAATAATATTTTAAACATGAGTAATTCAACAACAGTATATTCCGAGTCAGACATGAATAACATGTTTTCAAATTTCAAGAGGGTATAATTCCTGAATGATAAACTTAACTTGTCCCAAGTTTGGAGAATTACTGGGTAATAACTTTCAGGCAAATTAAATACTTTAAAAAAGTTTTATTCTTATAGAATTAGTTATTATATAAACTCTGATAAGATATCTATTTTCTCCAACTCATTAAGGTGAAAACTTGAAAAAGTGAAAGCGATTCCCATAGGCATGACTGCCTGTTAAGAACAGTGTGAGCACACTATACTGTACAGTATATTGTACAATACAGTACTAAGCCTTTGGTACGCAAAGAGGCAGCACGACCAGCATTGCGCTCAATCACCTTCACTTTCCTATCTCTGTCAAGCCAGGGACAAATTTACATCTGGGTAGACTAGGAGAGCCCTGGGATGGAACCAGTGCAGTACAGTCAGTGTTGTACGCATCAAAGAAAAAAAGTGGCGCTGCCAGCATCAGCGTAAACAGCCAAAAAATTTGATGCCGTCAGCATCGGCGTAAACGATTTCATAAATTGACGCCATTAGCGTCAGCGTCAACACTTAGCGTCAACGAGTTTTCAGTGACAAATGCAGCCCCGAAACACGTATTCTCCTGTGTATAGGAGTAACATACCGGTATGCAAAATAAAAAAAACATTCATTAATTTTTAATAATTCATTATGATTTATATTACTGTTTATCATTCATTTTAATTATTAATTTGTTCCCCCACAAGAATACTAGCATCTCAAAATGCTTGTCGCTCATTCTGCTACGCTTGGGCCTCAAGACGTCCTTGCCCATGGAAAACATGTGCTCCACGGCAGCACTAGAGGGGATGGGGGTGTTGTATTTGATGAAGAACTCCCTCATGGCCTTGTTGGGGAAGGTGTCCTTATCGAAAGTTTTTTTCGAAGGTTTCTCCCCCAGGAAACGCTTGAAAAGGTCACTGTCTTTTTCATTTCTGTGGGTTGTCTCGTACAGGGCCTGGAACAATTCGTCCTCCATGTCACGGTCTTTGTCGTCTCCCTCACTGGTGCTGCTGCTCTCAGTCTCGTGCACGGACTTCTCCACCAGCCTGGACAGCTGGTTGGTGGCCTTTTTCCTGACGAACAAATTGACGCTTAACGCTCTACTCGGGTGAAAATTTGACTGCGTCACCTGTAGCGTCACCTGCCCAAAAATTTGATCGCGTCAGGTTAACAAAAAGTTGCTGCCATCCATTGAAGGCGTTAAATTAACGGCTTCAACGTACAACACTGAGTACAGTACAGCTCTGTATACTGTAGTCACAAAACAAGTGTTCTACCAATATAGAATAATCAAAGATAGTTACCAGATTTGGTACAGTATAGCAAACCACTTGGAGAAGATCTTATAATAAACTGTATGGATGTGCCAATACTTTTTTGCCCAGAGAAGAATAATCTATTTGAAAATGTAATCCTATCGAGAACAGTAGTGAGGCAGATTGAAAAAACCTGATAAAGTAGATACCATAGAAACAAGAGTACAGTACAACTTTCAAATATCTTTCCTGAGCACCAATTAAAAGAAGTGAGGACTTACTGAAAGAAAAAATACACGCCAAGAAAAACTTTTCCATATTCCATAACCCACCAACTGCCCCTTTAACGAATGGTGTTTTTAAATTGGAAATTTTGGTGAATATTGTTATTAAAATTTAGGCATTCAGTCAGGGTGAGAAATCAACCAGCAGCCGAAAAATAAATTTTTTGTCTCTACGTATTCCAACGGCCATACTCTGTTAAAATTAAATTAAATTGATGGTTTATTCGTCACTCTAGCGTGCTGAAAATTCACCTGAATACATAAGATTTCCACCCTACCGTGTTGGTGATGGTTGAGGGAGGTCACGGAAGTGTTTGTATAATGCTGTATATCACAGTGGAAAAGTGAAGTACTGTACACTACTGTAAAACCTCTATACACTGGACTTCAATACATCGGAATTTGCTTTTTATGAACTCCCTGAGGTGCTTCAGACTGCCCCTCTATTCACTAGACATATTTTAAAAAGTCAGGAAGATCCAACATCAGTCCGGACAGTTTGTGTGTTTGTGCTTGCAATTGAACGTCTCTGCATAGGTGTCGCACGGCACATGCCTCAGTCGAAACCTGCCTTCATGCATATTGTATCAGTGCGCTGCATGTCGCTACCTACACTCATTTATGTAAACCATTTATGTGGCATACATACAATATTGTTTTTAAACAGGACACTCGAAGGTTTTAAGAAACGGGAAAAAAATATGTACAGTACTATCTATTTTAAAATACAGTATGGGTAAAAAAAAAATTAAAAAAATGCTTAAAAAAAGAACAACACTTGCTCACTGAATACTGTACACTGGTCTAATCAGATACTGTATTATGCTGTGAGCCTTTAAAAAGTTACTACTTATGAGAGCTAAGATGCTGTGTATGTAAACAGACCAGTATTTATATTGATGCTAATTAGCCACTTATTACAGGTACTAGAATGCAGGGTTAACACCTTTAGCACAAGTCATACTTCACAAGATTTTTTTATATACAGTATCCCAATATTCAACTAACTAAATTTCCCATCTTTTGACACCAGATTCATCCAAATCATATGGCTGGTTACTGAGACACACCAAAAATAAGGAACAGTATACAATACAGACTTTAACCGTGTTTATCTCAAAACTCACTTTTGGTGTCTTCGTCACTCCTTGACCAAATGCCACAATTGTAGACTACTGTATATCTGAGAATGAGGCTGATATTAAACATGGAGCGTCCAAGGCTTATGTCCAATGCAATGTCAAAACTAGCACACAACCCGAGCCAGACTACAAAAGAGGTGTCCAATTCTCTGGTTAAACATTTATGAGCTGTTCGTGGACAAAGACACTTCTGATGGACTGTGTTACATTGAGAAGTCTGAAAGGTTAGAGTTCTTGTCTTCAACCAGATTGCTTAAAGCAGGGCTGTAATGTCAAATCTGCAGTTGGAACATTTATTGTCAACTCCCATTTCTAGCTGGATTCAGTTATACGAGACGTCTAGTGGAGGGCGATTGATCCTAACTGAAGGATTAACCTAGGAAACCCAATTTCTGCCCAATCCTAGAACTTACCAGTAGAGAAACCCTCATAATATTCTCCCATGAGTGAGTGTGGAAGTCTGCCAGGAATTACTTTGGTTTGGCACCAAAAACCATCATGGCTAATCTGAGAACAAAAGTGATATTATAGGCTCATTAAGATTCTATTTTCTTCTCTTGCTTTCAGGATGATGGTTGCAGCTGTAGCAGATGGACAGTTTAGTCCAAATCACTAATGTCAGGGCCCCTACATCCAGACCAAAACCTTATTCAGTGCAATACACAAGATGCTTTGTGACTATTATGAAGCATTGAAATTATAAACTAGTTAATCCAACAATGACTGACATAAAACATAGGAAGAATTAATTCAGACCTCAATGATATGCTGCTCTTCGAGAGTGGTTACAGTGATGCGAGTGGGCTCCCTGTGGCCTCGGTGTATGGACAAGAGTGTATCTGTCACCAGAGGTGGCCACTCTGATGGACTTGCCTCTCGGTCTGTTCCACCGTGTCTACTGTGAGACTTGGGGCCTGAAAGGAAAGAGAATCATTTGCAACATATTGTATACATTTTACAGGATGATAATACATGGAGTATGAACATTAAGGTTTAAAATAACTTTCTTTTTCACTTAAAGAGGAGTAGTACAAGTTCTTACTCAGCCAGTCAACAGTAGTGTCAATATCACATGATACCCATGACCATACTGTACACAAGCTCTGGAATTTGAATGGTGTAAAGGTTGCTTGTTGAGAGAGACGCGTGTAATTCAACGAGTATTGGAGAACGAAGCCGCAGCTGTTGACATGTTTAACTTAGGTAAGATAGCTAAGTTAGGTAGGTTAGATAAGGTTAGGTAAGGCAGCTAGGTTAGGTAAGATAGCTAGGTTAGGTTAGGTGAGATAGCTAGGATAGGTAAGATAGCTAGGTTAGGTAAGATAGCTAGGTTAGGTAAGATAGCTAGGTTAGGTAAGATAGCTAGGTTAGGTTAGGTTAGGTAAGGCAGCTAGGTTAGGTAAGATAGCTAGGTTAGGTTAGGTGAGATAGCTAGGATAGGTAAGATAGTTGGATTAGGTTAGGTAAGATAGCTAGGTTAGGTAAGATAGCTAGGTTAGGTTAGGTAAGATAGCTGGATTAGGTTAGGTGAGATAGCTAGGATAGGTAAGATAGCTAGGTTAGGTAAGATAGCTAGGTTAGGTAAGATAGCTAGGTTAGGTAAGATAGCTAGGTTAGGTTAGGTAAGATAGCTGGATTAGGTTAGGTAAGATAGCTAGGTCAGATTAGGTAAGATAGCTAGGTTAGGTTAGGCAAGCTAGCTAGGTTAGATTAGGTAAGATAGCTAGGTTAGGTTCCTCAAGTGTCAAAAATTGTGTAGACAGTAGTGGTGGTGTAGTAGGTGGGGAAAAAAAGGAAAAAAAAAAACACCAGTTAGAATAAAAAGGTTTCAGATTTATTCAACTCAATACTAAACATAATGTGAAAAATTCATGATAATTAAATACGTGAAATAAATAAATAAAGTAAGAGTTCTATATTTTTTTCCTAACCAAAACTAGAATTACATTATTGGGACAAAAGTTACAAAACTCTTTATATATCATTAACTAATTTACCATATTATTTATTTATTGACTCATTAGAACAAGACCATTAGAACAGGACCATTAGAACAGGACCATTAGAACAAGACCATTAGAACAGGACCATTAGAACAGGACCATTAGAACAGGACCATTAGAACAGGACCATTATCACAGAACCATTAGAACAGGACCATTAGAACAGGACCATTAGAACAGGACCATTATCACAGAACCATTAGAACAGGACCATTAGAACAGGACCATTAGACCAAGACCATTAGAACAAGACCATTAGAACAAGACCTTCCATTAACTATACCCTTGAACATTCCTTACCTTGATACTCTATATGCTTAAGAGTAGGGCTATCGTCGGCAGTCTCAAGCCTCAGGACAACCAGACTGACTGACATATTTCATTCCTTCTCGGTCAGGTGCTTTAGGAAGTTATTAATGGAGTAAATGGTGAAAAATATTCCTCCTGTACTTCACCTCCCTACACCATCTGGTAGTGTTGAGTCCATCTGGGAGTGTTGAGTTTTCCTCCAGCCTTTAGCCAGTCATCCAATGGTAAATAAACTTAACACGTCGTATAATTGAAACTTAATTCTCATTTGTCAAATGTTTGACCAATAAGAAACTCTAGGATGTACTATGGGACGTATTTTTTACCATTAGAACTTTGTGATTCTTTAAACCAGTTAGCCAATAGGAATCAAGAATTTAAGATATTAGTGTTGTGATTGGTTTATGTTTTAAATGTTTGCTCGGTCTAGTGAACTTCGTATGTGTCTCTCTAAATGTAAACAGAGACCTTGGGAGGCTCTGTAGTAAGACAAGTCCTCTTAACTATCACCTATTTAAGGGTAATTACCTGTAAACTACTACAATTACAGCGTATATAACTACTTCAAAATTAATTCCCTATCTTTAACAGGTAGGTGAACCAATATAAAGTAACATGTTAAGGATATAGATTAACATTTAACACCATACTAACAAAATGATAACAGTAGTGTATTAGATTTTTTTATATATACCAAACTGTTAATCATCATTATACTGTATTTTTCTTGAGTGGTTAACCTTTAATATTGTTACTAAATATTACTGATTTATGTCTGTTTTTAGAGGCAATGAACCACTGAACTGTTGGGGAGAAAAGATGGTTTAATGGTCATTTGTTTTATGGTATTAGAGCTGTCTGCACTAACAGTAAACAAAAACACTATATTTTATTGTTTTTCTGACTAACACACTTTTTTCAATTTCATTAATCACTATAAGAGTCATCATTAATTTACTTGTTCTTTTTGCCAGACGGTAGAAAATGAATGGTGACGATGCTATAAAGACTCCCATTGAGGAGGCCAGTGGTGGATGGCTGCATCAGCTGGTTGTGTATGCTGCAAGGTAAGGAGCAGTGCTTTGAAAGGGCAAGATTTTGTGAGTCAGAAGTGAATTGGACATTGAACCACATTAATAGGCCTTCTGTATCTACACTAAAAGTAATTGCATATCACCTGCAAATGCTCAAGGTTAAACATGCTTGATACCCTCTGCCACCTTATGTTAACTTCAGTATACAGGTAGTCCCCGACTTACGACCGACTCGACTTACGTCCACCCGCACTTACGACCGCCTCAGTCGTACCAAAATGTGGTCAAATTATATATTTTTGAGTCCCAAAGTCAGTACACAGACAAAATTTTCATCTGTAATTCACATTAAAATGGCTGGCAAGCTTAAAAGTGAGTGTTTTGTGGTGCTGAGAAGAAAAAGAGACCCAAATTTTCGATTTTCTATGTGTTATTTAAGCATTTCCGACTTACGACCATTTCGGCTTATGACTTGGATGTCGGTCCCTAACCCCGTCGTAAGTTGGGGAGTACCTGTTCTCCTTAATCTGAAGTTTTTGCTGAATGAATAACATTATACAAACTTCAGGTACGGACTATGATGTAAGGAAGGACACAATTAACTACTATATGGAAGTCCCTCTGAGTACTTTTTAATATTTATTTTGACAGTTATCTACCCATATATCTATAATTTATTTATCTCTCTTTTTACAGAAATCCCTGGGAATTTTGCTGGTACTTGTTACTGTGTCTTTCACCCATGTTCTTCATCTCTGCTATACTGTCCTGGAAACTTGCTAAAGCACTTGAGGCCCAAGAAAAGGTAATTTTAGATTTACATCATATACGTAGCTGATATGGTTTTGAAATCTCTTAGATATGTTGTACAGAATGAGAATTTAAATCATTGATTACTTACCCTCAAAGTCATCTGTAAAGAACACGCATGACTATGATATACAATTTAAAGAATTATGATTAAGATTGATTTTGATTATTGAATAGAATGTTTATGAATGTTGTTATAACTCTCTGTCACTTTTTACACTATAAGAGAAGTAAAGATACCAATACTGTATTACTGAACTTGACACAAATCATAAAATATATTGATGTTCCTTTATATACATACAGTGCAGTATTTAAGGTTGCCACATGATGTACTACCGATGTGCTGAATATATGAATGCTGTGACGTTTTGTCTTCTGTAGTAAACTGAACTATCATTTGTTGCTTTAGTTAATTAAGTGACATCTTTATTGGTTTAATGATACAGTATGTGAGAGTATTGACCAGAAATGACATAAAAACAACAGTTTGATAATTATATTTTAGTAAGGAGAAGATTATGAGTGCAGTGACAACAGTTAATTATTCTCTTATAATACTGTAGTTATTGCTTAAGACTCGAGGCTTCATCAATCAGTGTACTCCAGTTTTAACTCAGGGTCTCTTCTGTTCATCCGTCTTTCATGAAAGATTCCTCTCCAGTTTGTTCTATAAATATTTTGTTTCTGTGTACAGTACTGTATACAACAGTTGTCTGGCAGGGCCTCTATTTACGTTGTCCTCTTATACATATTTTTGAAGATATGATTTTATTCTCAGTCATTGCTTTGCTAAATGAACAAAAATCCTGTTGCAAAAAAATAATTACTTTTTCTTAGCATTAAAAGATACTGGGGTGCTGTCACTGAAACTGGACAGCATACAGTGCAATAAGCTACTCTTTAACTTATTTGTATGGTAAATATTAAGTATGTTTTATCTTGTTTCCCTGTAGGATAAGACTCGTAGAGACAAGAGGAAAGCCAATATAAGCAAGGTGAAGCGTGGGAAAGCAAACTGATGGCCAGTGAGCAGCAAGAACAAATTCTCTCACTCAGGCTGACAGTCACACAGCATCTTTCATCTGTGATTGGGTCATATAATTTATAGCACACATAAGATGCTTGTCTATCCAGCATAACGTTTATATCATGCTGAAGTATTTTCCATCATTTGGTATAAGCTGATTATTTCTGTTTTTATTTTTGATTTAAATAGTTTAGTATTTCAGAATGTTGATGTATTAAATTTTCAGAACATACTTTAAATGTGCATATACAGTACACTATATAGTTCTTTCTTTGTGATTCTAGATTGTAAAGAGTGGCCATCATTTGCAAGACAAAATATATTTGCCACCAGATCGAAATGACAATTACTACTGTAGTTTTAAGATTCTGAAAATTTAACCCTTTGTTATATGTACTTTATCCCATAAATAGTTTACATCCTGAATTCATCATCTATAATAATTAACAAATTGAATCTTATGGTATTTGCTTTAAAAGATACTGTGAATTGAATATCATATCTGCAATAAGTAACTTAACATAAAGTCAGTATCTTTACATTTCAAGTACATCTAACAGTATATTCTTCAAAAGACAATACCATTAGCTAAACCATGCAACTTCCAAGGGTTGCCCAGTCAAAGCTCTCTTGATAACTTAGGGAAATTTTCAGTTCTCTTTATTTTTATCAGTTTGGCTGTTAATAATGTTACAGTATATATTTTGATGAATGATACTCAACTTTGTCTTGGGAGTAAGGACTGATTCTGTAGCTTTTGGATCTATGTGAAAGTCAGGTTGAGATATAGATACTGTACTTGATCTTTTACTAAGTACAGTAATAGAATGACCAAATTAATAGTATGCAATCTTCCATTTCTTATTACTGTGTTCATGCTGAGGGTGTGGTTGTGGTTGTCCATAATGAATACAGTATATGACTTTCAATTGCAAGGTTTTTTTATTTTGTATTGTTTTAACATTAATATATGGAGTGGACTCATTTCCACTAACTGTGCTTCTGCTTTCATATAATTCTTTCAGAGATGTTCTAAATTGTATGGTTATACTGTATGTACAGTACACTTGCTCCAAAAAGTGATGAATTTGAAAATTAACACTGCAGCTCTGTTGTTTCAGTAGGGTTCTTAAAATCCTTTGTCCGTTGTGTCATATTGTCTCAAGAAATCGTAAAGATAATTTTTGGAGTGTGTGTACTGTAATCTGTTATAATTTTGTTTGTCATGGTAAAGTGGTGCATAAGCATAAAAAAAATTTATGTACAGTATTTCTGGTCCTGTGTACTGTACCATTCAGAAATCTAAGTACTGTATGTGTAAAGCATACAGACATTGGTATTCATTATATATATATATATATATTATTGGATAATTGGCACCTGCATGTGTCGTATTTCACCAACAAAATGAACAGGATCCAAGAATAGTCATTATTGAAGATGTCACTAATTTTCTCATGTAAAAGATCATTAAGCTTCTTGAGAAAGTAGTCTCATCACCTGGAATGTCTTCCTGCATAAAATAATTTTACTTTACATTTATGGATTATATAAAATAATTTTGTTTTTGTTTTTGTAGAAAATTCCATGTTCTCTTGATAAGATGGTAATTTAGCAAGTCCCCACTACAGAATTAGCTATTTTTTTATTGTTTTTAAAATTTTCTATCATCAGTTAAAAACAGGTGAGGTTTTTGTGTGTGTGTAATATACAAGATCTTGTTGTTACTCGAGAAAATTACCGGGTATCTTTATTTTTCACAAGAATTATATTAATTTTTCACCAGTCAATTTACAGTACTGTACAGTACAGTTTAACTTCACATAACCTTGACCTTAGTTGCACTGTGCAAGATATTGATACAGCTGCACTGCTTTGTTATTAAACTCCAAACATATAAACAAGAGCACCTAAGAATAATTATTTTTCATTCTTGTGATTCCTATTTCCTGCTACACTGCTAGATGGTTGGAAACAGAGAATTTCAGCTTCATTCACTGTCTTATCTTCCCTAATTAATAAATCAGCCGTGAATATAGAGTATTTTGTCTAGATCCTAACCACCCTGCGATGTAGTGGGAAAGTGCTTGTAAGAGTGAAAGAATAAAACCTTCATTACCAGTTATTTTATGGTCACCCATGTCATTGAAACTGGTGTAAGTTTACTCTCTTAATACAGTTTTGTTTTATTATATGAATGTGTTTACTGTTACTGATGTGTTGGCTATGGGTAAGATAAGACAACTGGATTAAGAGCAGATGATAAAGTTTCGATGTGGTATTACAATATTTAAGTTGGATATTTAAAATTTTTTATATGTAAGCAGCTATTATGGATTATAGTTATTTTTTTATTTTCAACTAATTTTTATGGTCAGTAAAGAGTTATAGTTTACCTTGACTGTTCTTATGTTGGTGTCAATATTCATGGTAAATTGATGGTTTTGAAGTACAGTACAGTATATAGTCAGAGAAGGAAACTCCAGTTTTTTATAAGAATGCATTTCTTTAAAATTTTATAATTAGTAGTAAGGTGAAGTGGGGCTGAATGTAATCGTTGTCAATATTAATATAACTTCCAACACTGGGGACTCACTAACCCCTGGACCCAATCCCAGGAGTTAACCAAGATACTCCTTACACAATCTAACCAAATTCAGCTGCAGTTTTTTGTACAGGGATTAGTTTGACCCTCAACACTGTAGTGAGACAATACAACAACTCTCCACTTAAGTATGTAGACTAGTCATATAGTATAGATATATTACAGACCATCTAAATATGATGAATAGTTTATTAATTTGCTGCATTCATCTTTTTATTTGCCATTTCTTCATTTCATTTCGGTATTTTAAAAAATTCTAAAGTGTTTCTTAGCTAAAGTTTTGATCATAACAAGAAATCAGATTTTCTATGTATAGCTTTCTTACGTGTTCTACAGTTGATATGATTACTGGATTAATTTTATTATCTATCTTTAATGTTAGTGTTGTTTACGCTGAAGATAGTCATTAATGCACAATTGAAAATCAGTCAGCATCTGGTGCCAGTTTTGTAATTTTTATTTATTTACTTTTTTTTTTTAAACAGATTAGTGGGAATGCTTGTAAGTATATTTGTACACCTGTAAGATAAATGGAAAGCTTTTTATGATACCTTTAAGATGTTAATTATAAAATAATCTTAATTTTTTTAAGTGTGATATTGCATTAATAATTTGCTACCCTTGTGGCCAGGATGGGAACACATTTTGTAAAAATAGTTTCAGGACACTCAACAAAATGGAATCCATCATTAATTGTAAAGTTCTCTAGGTAGTGCAGGGAGCAGCAGTACCAGCAATGAAATGGACCAGTCTGGAAGTTCTTACTGCATATCTTGGCTGTATGTACTGAACTATCATAACCTAACCAACCTGTTACTGTGCTAGCAGTTACTTATCAGGTTGTTGGATAATAAAAGCTCAGTTTTTAACTTTTGGTCTGAGCCATTTCGTTTATGGTACAATTGCATGCAAGGAATCAGGCAAGCTACTGGAGACACAATTGTTGTTTTACTTGAAGTTTTGATTCCTTTTCATTCCATTTTCTATGATTTAAATATTTTCTTGATGTTTATGGTGGTGGTTATTGAATTATTATGTGGCATACAATATTTTACTCTACCAAATGAAGTACAATATGACTTGCAATAAAGAAGAAAGAACACTTTGGTTTTATTATTAACAATTAGCCTTTTGTGTTTTAATAGAATGATATTTGTTTATTTTATTTACAGTACAGTATTTCATTACTGTTTTCCACCATTAGGTGTAGTGATTTAACTATTTTGGCTGGATGTTTAAGGGAGGAAAATCATTTGAAGTTATCCCTATGATGGTGTAGCAATAAAAATATTTTAGCAGTTTGTGACAGATCAATCATTTAATATACCCATGACAAGATTTGACTAATTTTAATGGACTTTTACAGCAAATTAAACCCCTAAAGTGAGATATTATACAGTTTGCTTACATCCCAAGTACTGAAGACCACTTTCAGCCAAGTTTCAGCTTGTGATGTTACTGTACATGATTATTATAGATCATAATACAAAGTTATATGCAATAAATTTGATAGCATAGTTAATTGAGGATATAACATGGCATAAACAGTAAACCCTCACAATTTTGGGCTAACTGACAGGAAGATCAATCCAAAAGCATAAATATTCCAAGACTGGAGAAAACTTCCCCACTCTAAGAATTCACGCCCCCCTGTGTACACGTAATCAGTTAATCGCTTGTTTTTACAGTTTCTAAAGACAAGATAATGATAATAAATGTAAGATAAATTTAAATCGACTTCATTAAACTTTTTTGCCTAAATATTTGGCCCAGCGGCAAAGATCTATTATCATAAAGTTCACATCATGCATGTTACTGGTGCCCTTCATCCCTGCACTTTCTAGGTCTACTGTACATTCTTCTCTGACTGGACAAGCTTCCTTAAAGAGGAAGCCTCAATTTCCTGCTGACCTAAATTCTTTGGTTTTACTTAACCCTTAATAATGTTTAATAAGCACTTTTCATCTGTCCATATTCCTATTGAAACACATGGACACTTATTCTACCCCCGGGCTGAATCTATTGCTGTCACCTTTTTTAAGATGCTCTGTTAGAACCACTCACAGACACTAGAGGTCATTGCTAAATCACTTATAAGTTAAACAAAACCACAAGTAAATGTGGCTGAACAGTGATAACACAAGTTTACATGAGGAGAAAGGGTGTGGGCATGGGACAGTGGGATGTTTGAATGAATGTGGTTGTCCTGTAATGAGAAAGATAATGAACGAATGAATGAAAATATGATGAGTAAAAGTAATCTGGATGCCCTTGCTTTGTGTGAAATAAAGCTGAAGGATAAAGGAGAGGAGTTCGAGATGAGGAGGGAGCAAATTCCTGAGTGTGTGAAAGAGTGAAAAACTGAGTGGCAGAAAAGTGAAGGAATGTAGAATGTAATGATAGAAATGAGTTAATCCAAGAATATAAATCAAAAGGTTGGTGAATAGGCAAAAAAGAATGAGAAGAAGAAGGACAACGTGAAAGATTTTTGGAAGACTTGATAATTATATAAAAAATAAGCTTTAGTATAAGAGACAGTGATAATGAAGGGGAAGCTCGGGAACCTTGATGCAAAAGGTGGTGATAGGAAAATGGAGACACATAGAACTGAAGTAGGACAAGCACACTGTAAATGAAAAGCAGAAAAATGCAGTTAAAGTTTGTGAACCTTCAAATTACCATAACTTTGGAACCAGTGAAGATATTGAAGTGATTGAAGAAGCAGATTGTAGGATTCATAGTTCAAATTTAATTGATATGAGTGAAAGACATCATACATATTATTTTCGGGCAAAACAGCACTTGTCCTACTTTCGTTCTGTACTTCTCCTATGGAAATGGAGGAAGACAAATAGAGTGGCGTCGATACTACAAATTGATTTTTTTTATTTACCCCGGTATTATATGTACAGTATATCATTTTCGCCACTTATCACTTGTCAGCTCTCTAGCCAGTCAGGCACTTGGTATGTTCTCTGTTATGTGCTGTTGGCATGTATGGGCTCTTGAATGTATAGCCAATCCAGAAAGTATCGAGACCCAAGTGGCGATGGAACAGAAAATGAGGCGATAACCTCAGATGCATTCATGTATCGGTTGGGTTGGGTATGTTGGTCTTCGCCTGAAGTTTCTTATTCTTTCGGACGTTTGGGGGCTTGATACTTTTTGGATTGGCTGTACTGTACATTATCCTGAGCCAGTTTTGTTCAAGCTTGGTCACTCAGGAGCTCGTGCTTGATGCTGTCACAACTTTCACTGACAAGTTATTCCAAGAGTTCACAACTCTTACTCCAAAGAAGTTAGCTATCTTAGCTGAGGCTGTGACCTCTAGTGGGGCAGGAATCTGCTAACTCCAAATAAGTACAGTACACTAATGTCCTTTGATTTACTATAAACTCTCAAATTGCCCCTTGCCCTTCTACAGTATATAAAAAACATGGCAATTAAAAACTTTCTAATCTCTCTTGGCAAGGAAGGTGTTTGAGTGCGGTGAAAGGTCTGAAAATCTACCCCCTTTCTCAGACTATACCCAGGTAGAGTCTCAGGCCGTTGGAATCTACTCCAGAATAGATTCTGGAAGCTTTCAGAATCTACCCCGCAGCCTAAATAATACAACCAGTATGTCGAATTGACCTCATTTGACTTCGTTTCAGCTCCTACAGAAGAACAGAGAATACTGCACTATGCTGTACCTATTAACACACTCAGACAGACCCTCAGTTTAGATTACCCCCTTTTCTATTCATATGTTTATCTAATATATATTTAAAGCCACCAAATGCGGTCCTCCTTTATAATGTTCTCGATCAATTTGCAATCCTGTGTGTGTGTGTAAAGTGTTAGTCTTTAGAGGTGGCGGACACACGACAACAGGAAGGTCAACTGGGCGTTAACTGTACCTGTCACCTCATCTGTTGTAATTGTAACAAAAAATCTATAAAATTGTTTCCATGAATTTCAATACTGTAATTTGATTTAATTGTATATAATCACAGCAACATGTGAAATTGGGATCTAACTATATTATTGAGGAAACGAAAAAGTTTCGATTCTCATTACATGTACCTTAGAATTGGGGTCAGCTTTACACAATTTATGCAAAACAATTAAGTGTGACGTGAGGATATTCTGGTACATAATTATAAAGGTGACAGTGACCATTATACGTTCCTTACTTTACAGAAGTGACAATAGTGCACATCCTCACTCACTGATGACTTTTGAGTTATAATACCTGGAACTGACAGTGACTCACCAAGCTATGACAAAGCGGTGTGTGTGTGTGTGTGTGTGTGTGTCTGTATGTGAGTATTAATACTCCATGTGTGCATGCCTTCCGCAGGCATACGCAATACCCATAAGTATGTCGTTTCTAAGATGCACTGTGAAATCTCAGAAAATTATGAAAGACGAAATTAAGACAAACAGTTCACGTATAGGACCAATAAATTGTATCACGCGGTCCAACATTTCTGTGACCGGGTCACGTTATAAGCAAATAATCTATATTTAGTTAAAAAGAAGTGCAAGATACTGTCTCGAGACAAAGTGTCCTGAATACAATGCAAGCAGGAAGAGAGCACCGGCAACGAAATTTAAATAAGCATATGGAGAATAGCGGAAACTCCCTAGTCGAGGTTATTGTTTAACCAAGCGAAAATTTACGTCCGCAGTTCTGCTGTCAACGAGGAAATAGAACAGCCAGAGAGATAAATAAAAGTTCCTGATTACCTTATCTATATTGGCATTTAATCACACTAAATGAAAATATTGAGTGATTAAAATGCGTGATAATTATCGCTATGTGTAGGCTACCATCTAGAGTTGTACTTTTTTGTATTTTATTTATTAGTAAATACAGTTAAAGAATTTCATATTACAGTATTTCTTCACTTCTGGGGATTATATTTGTACCAGCATCTTATAATTATTGATGATTGCTAAATACGTGAAAAATTCATATGTAGTTTATTAAATCTGGAGTTTGCCACAATTGAGAAATATACTGCACTTAAAATGTACTGTACTGTAGCTACATATTTATTGATCAATTAAACACAGTACAATGTACAGAACAAACTTTTTACATAGCTGGAATGTCATTACTTTATGCTGATACAAACCAATAATGTACTGTACAGTCATCCAAAAAAGTCCTGTCGCGAACCATGAACCCCGAGATCAGACTCTTGAATCCGAAGCATTTATGGACAGAATGATGTATCCGTGTCTACTGCTTCGGGTTCACGAGTCTGAATCGTGGTTCGCGACAGGACTTTTTTGGGTGACTGAACAATAATTTTAATATATTCCTGAGTAATCTTGTTCACCTATAGATAATCACAACTATAGAACTTAGGTGAATGTCACCCGCAATAACCTTGCCTAACCTAACCTCTCCTTCATTAAGCTAAGATGGTTAATATTTGCTTATTATAAGGTGGTGAAGCATATCGTAAATATAAAATAGGCAACTTTACCATATTGTGAATAGGCTTGTCGCCCCCTGGGGTGTAATATATTAATTCAATAAGTCTATGTACAAATTTGTAAGGAACGATAACCATAATGACATAAACTAGCCACATTTCGCCAGAGTCCGCTGTGTTTTATGATCGGACGATGTTCTCTTATACTCAGTGCCGGATTTAGACCTAAGGAGGCCCATGGGCAGCCTCTTTGTGGAGGCCCCCCTCATTATAACTACCTAAGAGGGTGGGGTGGCGAGTGAAGCGAGCCTAAACATTTGGGAGTTCCGGGGGGCGCTGTAAGTTCCCCGGGAAAATTTTGAAATTTGAACACTTCTTTGGAGAATTTTGAAGCCATATGCAGTTATATTGAGGAAATTAGAACATATTGTAATATGTGGAGGCCCCCAGATTGTGGAGGCCTCTGGGCAGCTGCCCACTTTGCCCACTCCTGAATCCGGCCCTGCTTATACTGTCCGCGTAATAAGAACAAAGAGGAACTTCATACCATGAAAATTCTCATAAATTCATGTGGTCGGGCCAGCGTCCCCCGAGGGTGACGTTTACACCAAACACTGCCCGAAACAACCACAGAATGGTGTTGGAGGTTAGAAGCTCAATAACTGAACCAATA